AGACACTGATGGCTGAAGGTGTGAGTGGGGTGGTGCGGTGGCATCAGCGGATATAGGCCGGATGATGCCCGCACTGCCCACTCACCACAGCCATGGAATACACCTCATGATCACACAACACTATATTGGAGCAGGCGGAGGGAGACTAGGGGTCTTTGCCACCTCTGTTGTTGCTAGGCTTCCTGGGGCTGGAGGCTAGGAGGGAGATCTGGCCGTCTGGTTGGGGTCTGGGGTGGTGGGTTGCTGTGCTCAGCGTTGGGTGGGGGAGCCTGCTCATCAGCACCCCAGCAGAAAGGGTCAAACTCTGGTTACCGGTGATGGTTGTACCCAATGTGCAGCAATACCGGGACCAGAGTGAATAGGGTGTGTATGGGGAGCATGAGTGGGTGTCTGGCATGCATTTTTGTAAGTCTTGGGTTGTATGTGCATGTGTGAGCATGAGGGAGGGAGTGTGTGACTGTGTTTGTGTATGACTGTATATGTCAGGTGGGGCCTTTGACTCCTCCCCTCTCCTGGAACTTCTCTTGATGATATAGATCTTTGTCCCCCCTCCCCCTGCCACACCTGGTGTGAGGGGTTGTGCCATGGTCTGCCTGAGTGTTCGTGGCAACCGGGTCTGGGGGTTTAAGATTTTGGCATCTGCCTGATAGATCCCGGTGGCTGCCTGGTGGGGTCTGGGTCCCTGGGCTCTGCTGGGTCCCTGGCGGGGGTGGTCGCCCCTGGGTCCCGGGCTCGGCCGGCTAGGGGGTGGGAGGCTGCGGGCGGGCCTGTGGGCTTGCCGCTGATATCTCCCGGGACTCTGCCGGCTGCTGGTTGTGACCCCCTGGGGCGATCCTCTGTGCCTCTCGAGGGGGGCGGGGGCCTTTCTGGTTGCAGTCTCCTTGGGGTTCCTGTGTTCTGGGGCAGCGCCTGAATCTCTGGGAGTTGGAGCTCCCCCGTCTCCTGCGCATCTTTGGGGGGCGTATCTGTGTTCCCTCACACTCTCTATTGGATGCTCCTATAGAGAAACCTTACATAAACAAGCGCGTGTACACACACAGGTGCTCACATGGTGCTCTCAAAAGTATGGGCTTGGGCACGTTAAACACAGGTCTTAAGACTATGGTGGGCACTTAATGCACTGTGATTTATTATTGTGATTCTTCAGTTAAGCAATGTTGATTATATATTTTTTCATCAAGTTGACGCAGTGATAGCTAGATCTTGTTGTATTGTTGTTGTGTCCATTTTTTGTCCTTTTGCTTTTTTTTTGTCTTTTTCTGCAGGTCTAGAAGCACTCTTGTTCATTGTTTATTTTTGTGGGAAACCCCCCCCCCCCCCCCCTTTCTTTTCCTTTCTCTTTCACCTCTGTCTCCGTGTCTGGTCGGAATTACCAAGCATTCCACAACAGTAACAATAAAGTTTTAAGTATCAGGCGTGACATTAAAAGCAAACGCTTTGATGCTCCACCTGATAGTAAATCTGTAAGGCTTGTCACCAGCATTCAGACATCAATTCTGCTTGCTTCACAGCCAGACAGGACACGGTAAAAAAAAAAAAAAAAAGAGAAGCACCTGTACACGTCCTGTTTTATCTTACTGCAGTGCAGCTGCCTTTTTTTTTGTTGTAAAACTAAATGCTTCAGATCAGCAAATTAAACTAAGTATCCAACAATAACAATCTGAGTAAATGCAAAATGCAGTTTTAAAATTATTTATTTTTTCTGAGCAACTCTTTCTAATCCAACGTGGTTCTTTGTGGTGAAGTATTGGCCCACCTTTTGAATGATGAAATGTGATTAACAAGGTTTTTTTCAAAGCTGAGTTGATTTTACAAGTTAAGCCCAGACTTGATTACTACCAGACCTGTTTGACAACATGAAGTGAGCTAAAAGAGCTCAAAAAGCTATAAAATGTGTTTATTCAAAAACAACATGCATAATGGCCTCCATTGGAGAGTTCAGAGGACAAAACCTCTGCTAGCGAAAAACAGCACAAAGACCCACTGTCTCACATTTACCAAAAACATTTTGATGATCCAAAAGACTTCTGGGCAAATATTCAGTTCTGTAAGATATGTGACCCGCAACATCTTAGCAACAGTCAGACATGGTGGTGGCAGCGTGATGGTGTGTGGCTGCTTTGCTGCTTCAGGGCCAAAACCACTCTCTGAGACTGATAGAACCATAAATCCTGCTCTATAGAACAGTCAGAATGTTTGACCTTTGACACTAAACTAGTTATTCCTGCTGGAAAACCCTCTACTGTGGCTGAATAAAAACAATCTGAAGAGTGGGACAAAGGTCCTACACTCACCAGTTTTCACAAACACCTGATTGCAACTGTTGCCTCCAAAGGTGCTATAACCAATTATCTCTCGGATATATAGGGTGCTTTGGTTAGAATGTCCCCTCAACTATTAAAATCACTGTCCAAAAACTGCTTGTCATATTTACCCAAGGTCTCAGGTTAGCAGGAAGGTTGCAGGTTCGAATACCAGCTGTACCCTTTCTGCATGGAGTAGGCATGGTCTCCCACACATGCGCCACATAAACACGTGCATGTCAGGTTGAGTAACTGCGGTGAAACCACATTAAAAAAGCATGTATGATAAGATTCTGCTTCACATATAAACATGTTTAAACACAAAAACACAACACAAACACAAAAACAAGTGACTATTTCTCTCATTCTGTCTTCATGGATCATAAATGTGTGTTGGTTTGTCTTGAACAATTTTTTTCTGGTTTTGCGTTTAGATTTTTAAAAATAAGCTTCCTGACGGGCTTAGGAGCAGAACCAAAACTATTCTGCTGCTGTACACTACAATACCCATAATGCAATGTGTATGTGTTGAATCCATGCTCTGCATAAACCTCTGACTTGTGCAACAGAAAACCACCAAGTGGCAGTAACACCTCACAAGTGGTTCAGTCCATCTCTGGAGGATTTGATGGGTTTTACCACCAGATGGCAGTATGTCTTCATTTATCCAATAGCATAAAGAGCCTTAATATTACAATTTTAATTTTTTAATTGTCTTGTTCAGATTCACACACACACACACACACCTCCTTCCAGCACCAGAGACCGTTTGAACCAGTGAGACATTTATTTATGCAGGTATGTTTTCCTGTGTAAACAAAATGCAAACACGGCACGAACACACCACCAAGCACTGGGGGGATGTAGAGCAACGGGCAGTGAAGAGATGAAGGTGGAGGCTGAACGGCTGAGCAGTTTGAAGGCTGTCGCTGAGAAAAAGAAAAACCCCACAACAGTAATGTGCAGCGAGCTGATTTCACCTCCTGGGGGACAAACCGTCCTCTGTCCACCGCATTACATTTCTCCTCGTCTTCGCCTCGGACACTTTCGGCCGATGATCGCTGCTCCCACAATCAAAACGTAAGGCACCCTTTTGTGTTCCAACTCTATTGCACCTTGTCCTTTGGATTTTGCTTTTTGACTGATGCCTTGAAACAATCGCAGCTCTATGATTCAGGTCCTCTGTCCTTTAACTCTGCACTTTACCCAGAATTCTCAGCTTCTCCTCTGATGCCATTAGTCCTTCCTCAGCAGTGTGTCCATTTCAGCAGCAGAAACAGGTTCCTTTTGTTTGTACAGGAGTTTACAGAACATGTGCTCCGAGACTCGCAAACAATGCCTCCCCAACAGTCCAGTGTCGTATGACTTACAAAATAAAATAGAGTAAAATAGAATATACAAATCAGAATTTCATAACCTCTTGTTTCCACAGACACATCTACAGCAGGGTTCAAGTCGGGGGATGGGAGACGGCGACGGCCACAGGTGTTGGAAAAGCTCCTTCCAGAATCACTCTACAACTATGTTTTAGCAGGTTTTGGTTACATGTTCAAGTTCACAGTTTTCTCCCTTTTAGAGGAAAGAGGGTGGGAATGATAGCTGCTTATTGCAAATCTCACAAGCAGTGCTCTTCACCGCTTCGGTAGCACAAACATAATGACGACAAGCTAACGAGTCAGGTTCTGTCTGAGGGACGCTTTTGACCGATGCATAGTATAGTGTTAAAGGTCACTCAGAACATACGGTTATAGCTGACAGGATTGTTTAAATATCTCACACACTTTAATTTCAGATTAAAGTAAAAGTAATAAAAGCAACACGAGAGTTGTGGTTTTGAGCTTTTCAGGAAGTGTCTCTATACATCACTGGGATAGCTAAACATCACAATCGAAACTGATATTTAACTGATTGCTGTTATAGAAGATAAAATACACCCCTGCAATGATGCAGATTATCTTTGATCCTATTGGTTGGAGTCTGGCGACCAGTCAGACTCTGTCCACGACAACTGCATTATCTTTGAGTTAACATACATTTATGATGATTTTGCTGGTTTAATGTATGACATGATTATCTATCTAGTTTTTTTAAGTCATCAGGTTGAAACACAATGGGGGCTTGTCCGGGATCACCTCGACAACAGCTCAAATTGAACAGGGGTGCCACAACAACAAGAGAAGTGTAACAAGCCATCCCAGAACTTACTATTTCTTCCATAAACTTGGACAAACAGCTGCATGCTATTGAGAAATTAAGCTAGTTAGCATAGTTGAGAATTAGTTGAAAGCCTCAGCTTTTCAGGCTAACTAAAACATGTTGTATGTTTGATGCTCAACATCTAGACAGACACACAGCTTCCAGTGGATGACTCTAAGATTGGTATTTAAAGAAAAGTGGGCACATAAAATATATCAGGTTCAACCAGTGTAACAACCAAACGCAGCTATAAGCTCCATAGTACCACGGCACCGAGACGAGTTAAAGAGAGATCACTTTCACTAACTAAAACTAAAAGTACAAAAACACAGGAATTAAAAAAATGTGTTTTAAAAAAGAATCAGATGAATAAAAATTAAAGGTTTAACAGTTATGTTTTATCTGAACATTTTGAGAAAATGCCTAAGGAGACTAGCCATTCTGTGTCACTGTTTAAGTGAGATGAGATGAAGATCGTCGGCTTGGTAAATATGTTTACCTTTTCCGTTTTATCACAACTAAACAAGTATCATTTCTTTTCATTCCCTCCGGTCTTATTATTGAAACATGCAGATTATAATTGTCTGATATTATTCATAAACAGGCAAACACTGAACAGAAATGAAATCCTCTATAGAATAAAAAGTGTAAAAAGCTAATTAGACAGCAGTTGAAGGTGAAGGTGACCCTGCTGGGAGATGATTGTGGCGAGCGAGTTGACTGCAGGAAGAAGGGTTGGTTCAAACGAGCCAAAGCAGGTCCGATTCAGTGCTGAATCATCCAACAGAAGAACGTTCCTGTTATCCAAAGAGGGCCGGGGTGGTCCAAGACAGAGCAGGAGTCTGGGCCAGGGTCAGAGGTCAGAGCCACAGTTGGTTTGTCTAAAGGGACAGGACTGAAGGTGTGCTGCTTCATGGACTGTAGTCTTTTCTGATGTCTACGTGTACGCAGTGGGGGAGAAAGTCCTCTCGTTGGGCTGGTGGCAGCTGCTTGGCAGGGCAGGAGACACTCTGATGGAGCATCTACTCCTGTAGCCCCCCTCCCCCCTCCCATCTCAAAGACCACCTCATCAGATCAGCACTGCAACAAGACCACAGGAGAACATCAGACAAGAGCACAAACTTTGACAAGGTTATATTTACCTTATTTTAAAAATTGTAAGAATTTTTGGATGTTGCCAGTTCAGCTACCATCTGCAATTCCCAAATCAGCTTCGTAATCATAGCAGAGAAAACGTGACAATTTGATGTATGACAACATAAAGATAACCAGGACTAAAAGAAATGTTAAAGCTGCTGTCAGTGGCTCTTTACAGCCACCATGGCAACTACAGTGGCTCACTGGGGTCACTGTGAAACAGCCCAGTGACCTTTCACATCACTGCGTCATGAACTGCTATAAAAACAGGCTTTACATATGAATGAATCCATTACCTCTAATTGTTTACTGAAAGTTTGTGTACCTCTGATTTCCTCTGCAGCTCCTCAGTGGGAGACTCCGATTCCCTGATAACCACTGCTTTTGTCACCAGCATGTCAGGATGCTGCTGCTTGGCCTCCTGGATCGCCATGGCGAGCGCCTAAAATCACAAGACACCATCAAACACACGCAGCTGATCAGTCTCGTCTGTGAGGCGAGTGTGGGGAGTTTTTTATGACTAAACACAAAGAGAAGTGTTTAAAGGACTCTCACCTGGTGCTGGTCCACGTCATCGTCTCCTGTGATTATTATCCGCTTTTCGATTCTGGTCTCTGAGTACCCTCCTTTTACTGTCTGCAGACCACACAAAGACAGGACTTTTTACCCTTGCTCTTGACCCTCTGAGGCCCTTTACACACATTATTATACCCTTGTTAAAAATCCCATCAAACCACTTCTGACTAGATGGAGTATCAGGATTAGTATCTTCATTGAACAACTGCTATGTCTAGTCTGCTGCCCTCTGGTGGGGGATCAACAGGTAGGAAGGGCCAAATGTATTCCTCCATTGTTAAATGGTATAAAAAATAAAACTGATTATCAGAAAGTTTTTTATTAACAATAGAGAATACGTTGTTCAGTTTGAAAAACATAAAAAATTGTTTCATATTTCTGACATTAAAGATCCTGCAACACTTTTCACAATTTACAAGACCGTCTAAAGCAGGGGTTCTCAATCCTGGTCCTGGGGAGCCGCATTCCAGCAAGTTTTAGTTGTTTCCCTGTTTCAACACACCTCCTATCAATCAACAGGTGATTAACAGGTTTCTGCAGAGCCTGATGAGCTGCTGAACAGGTGACCCAACCACTGAATCAAGTGTGTTGGAGCAGAGAAACCACTAAAACATCAATCTGGTCAATCAAATCAATAAAATGTTATTTATATAGTGCCTTCTACTGCTTTTGCAGGAGCCCAAGGTGCTGGACACAGCATACCACAGAAATAAAAACAGACAAATAACAGGACAAAGGTTTAAAAGGGTTCAAACAAAATTTAATTACATAAAGTCTACGACTAAATCTCGGAGCAGAGAAGTTGATCCCATGGAAAAAGATGTGTTGGCTACAGGTTTCAGTAATCAGATTGTTACCATGGACACAGGCGTGTTCTTACCTTGGTGACTTGTGTTGTGGTTGCTGAGGTGATGCTCTCAGAGGTGATGGTCATTGGAGACACAACAGACTGCCTTCCCTGCTCGCTGGCTTTTACCTAAACACAGTAAAGATGGCACAGTCACAGAGCAGCACACGTGTGTTAGGGACACGGATACAAAAGAAGTGCATGTTTGCCCTCTAGGGTAAAGTTTGAACTTAAGTACCCACTAAGGTTGAATATTGGATCTCATTGTCTGCTGGATTAAGTGACACCTTGATGTACCTGTCAGATGATGAAGAAAAACAACTTTTCTATAAGAGGCTGACTAAAATGAGGTGTGTTGGAGGTGAGAAACAACTAAAACATGCTCTATACCAGGGTTGGACATCACATTTAAAGTTAATGGTATAGTTACTTTTATTATGTCTGCCATTCTCGGTCAAAGCAGTTTTTTCGATGACCATCTTTTAAACAAATGTTACTAAATTTAAAGGGACTTTACGGACTTTTGAATTTTTATGCTCGCGATTGCCCCCTCAGGCCAAAAGCGTAACAGCAGCTTCAATAGTAGGCTCGTGCACGAGGCGCCCATGCTGTACGTGCACGCTCCTTAACGAAAATAACAGCTGAGACAGTCCCGTGTGTGTGTGTGTGTGTGTGTGTGTGTGTGTGTGTGTGTGTGTGTGTGTGTGTGTGTGTGTGTGTGTGTGTGTGTGTGTGTGTGTGTGTGTGTGCCCCCGAGGACAGAGGACAGGAGAACGCGCAGCTAATTAATTAAATAATTTGGTTCTGTACCTTTCTCTTCAGCACAGCCGACAAAGGTTTAAGATGGGTCAGTCCTCCTGCATGCTCAGATCATTCCCTTCCCTTGATTGAAAAGTTGTTCCAAAATGAAAGTTGAACCCACATCTTTTTTATCTGTGAATTCAATGCCGTTCGGCGGGTCTCAAATAAAAATTTGGGCATCTTACTGTAAAAAAATATATCATTAATGTAAAAAAGAAACTCTAAATAAACTATGCTCACATCCAGAATCAAACCCATGAGAGTCCGACATCTTACAAGGTGAGCTACACACCAGTAACATTCACAGTATCTGTAACTTTTATATCCTTGATGACAGCTGAAACAACGTCAAACCAAAGAACGGTTCGGAGCAAAAATGGCTATTTTGTTGCTAATTTGCAGGAAATATCTAGAAGAAAGTTCTACAGAAAGTAGCTAAGGGTCCTCAGAAATGTAGCTAGGTTCATCACTAGGCGTTAGGAACAGCGACAAAGTCGCTGAGTTGAAACTGCCTCTCTCTCTGATGCTAAAGCTACGGATAGCAAATGCTACGGGCTATGCCGGAGCCTGAACGCGCATGAAGCAGCCTGCTCGACCCGAGCATCTCTCTTTTTCTGTGATTTTACAGAAAAACAGGCAATCACAGTAAAAATGCCACGGCTCATTCTACAGGACCAGGGCATTGCAGGAGAATGTATGAAGAAGACATTTATTATTTCTATACATGTTTTGGCTGTCAAACCTCCATAATGCCCCTTTAAATAAAAAACACTACAAATGTGTTTCCTGTGATGGTACCAGCTCAGTGACTAGACTTTTTGCCACTGCACTCTAAGCGCCCATCACTCAGGGCATCTCAGCCTATAGACTATGTATGTACAGTCTATGCTATAGACTAAACAAAACAAACTGGAAATGCATCATTTGGCCCAAAAGGCTCTTAAATCTGGTTAAACAGAAGCTTTTCACGCAGTTGAGTAGCAAATGTTGGGTTTGGTAATTGGGTGGTTTTCTAATAAACTGAAGTACAGTAGTTGGAATTAAATCAAAGCTCCCTGGTGGAGATAGAACGGACAGTGACGGGAACAGAGCAGGTAGCTAATGGAAGAGTGGCAATGGATCAAGGACGTCTAGTCTTGAAAATGAATGATCATGATTTGTCTTCAGTGGAGACAGAGAAGGACACTCTTAAAAGCAGAACTCTTTAGATTGTAAAATAGAAAATGAACACAAGGACCTAAAGGTGAAATCAACATGGGATGACTGCTTTAAGAAATGTCTTCTGAAAACTTCAACTTCTGTTATGAAATACTGGTATTTCCAGTCACTGATACAACTTTTCCTCTGATCATTTCTCAGGTGGTGTGTCTAAAACTTCATCCATGATTATTTAGATAAAAGGTCTCAGACAGAAGCATGTCTGTTCAACTAGCTTCTATCTATGGTCTATCTACTTCTGAGTCTGGTAAGAACCAAACCAAAACCAGCTCAGACTATTTATGCTCTATGTGTAAAAGTTGTGCCTAACACCTTGTTTTAACATGGATGCGATCCATTTAATTAATAGGTTATTTTATCCATATTTTTTCACTAAATGTTGCCCATGCATCAGCCAATTTTCAGTCCATTAAATTACTATTTTAACATTATTAGTGTATTTTTATTTACTTGTTGGTAAAACTCTGATTTGTGAATCACTGATTCTAATCAATGTAATATGCATGTTTATGGACCGTTAGAGGAAACCACAATACCAGGAGCTAACTTGTGCATACATGGGAAAAACATGCTAACTTCATGTAGAGATGCAACATAGGTGGGATTTAAACCTGCAACCTTCTTATTTCTAAAGAACAGCACTACGGACCACTCCACCATGCAGCCCTACGACGCACCTGTTTTTTACGAAAATCTATTTTCAGAGAAAACTCCAAGAGCAGGTTGAATTAATCTCCGATCATAACCAAACTCATCATCAGAACAGCAAGGAACCACAGTGCAGCGATAAAATCCAGTTAGCATTTCTGTCACATCACATGATTCACTCTGACACTCACTCAGAAGGACGTCAGCTAAAGGTCAAAGCAGGAACAGAGCGCTCACACACACACACACACACACACACACATACACAGTGGTCACTGATAAAGACACTTACAGGAGAGCTGTTTTCTTTAAGAGCAACAGGAGCTTCCTGTGGACTGACAGGATCAAATTCCTGGAGGAGAGAGACAGAAATGAGCATTATTATTAAAGATACATAACTACCAACATTAAACCAATAAAAACTTGAACAAGACTCTGAAATCCCATGGTACCAAAAACTAAGAGATTTAACTGGATCTTGAACGGTGAGCACAAATTCTCTCAATTGCATCCAAAAACTTTTCAGGTTGTTCAAACATCAACAGTTCGATTTTAGAGTCATGTTTGAATATCTCTCTGAATCAATGAAACAGCTACAAAGCATAACGTCACCACAACCTTCACAGTTTGAGGTACAATGCGTTTCTGCTGTAATTTGATATTATTCATTTGGGAGCAGTGATGGGATTTATGGCTCTTTCATGGGAGCCGTTCATTAGTCAGTCGTTTACCTCAAAGAGCCGTTCAAAAGACTTGAACTCCTTTGAACAAGCACTGAAACTGCTCACGTTCGGGTGTTTAATGACATTTTTCTGGCTTTAGATTCAGGTTTCCATGTGGTTCTGGTACTTTTGGATCTATCCGCAGCATTCGACACGATCGATCATGACATTTTGATCACAAGACTTCACACTTGGGCTGGCATTTCAGGCACAGCCCTGGATTGATTTAGGTCATACTTTTGTAACAGGTCTGCTAGGGTCATGTTGGATGGCTGTTCATCCGAGTCACAGCCTCTACGTTGGGGAGTCCCACAAGGTTCAATTCTCGGCCCGTTACTGTTCAACCTCTATATACTGCCCTTAGGAGCCATTTTCAGAAAGCACGCTGTCTCATACCATCTTTACGCTGACGACTGTCAAATCTACTTTTCATTTAAGCCAACTCAATCAACGAAAGTTCTGTCTGTATCCTCGAGGTCAAGCAATGGTTTGCTGATAACTTCCTCCATCTTAATGACTCCAAAACTGACTTAATCGTTTTCAGTCCTTACAGTACCACAGCTCCTCATCAACCTGACCTCAACTACCTCTAATGTATCCTCTGTAATTTCCAACCTCGGAATAAAAATGGACCAGGCTCTGAAGATGGATGCCCAGGTCAATAACACAGTTAAATCATGTTTATACCAACTAAGACGCATCTCGAAACTAAAGCACATCCTGAGTGTACGTCTTCTGAAATCTGTGGTCCACACTTTCATCACTTCAAGGCTGGATTACTCCAACTCCTGCTTATACGGCATCAGTAAAGCAGCTCTTTCTAGACTTCAGCTGGTCCAGAATTCAGCAGCTAGGTTGCTGACTGGAGCTGACAGAAGACAACACATTTCACCAATTCTGAAATCTCTCCACTGGTTGCCCGTGCAGTTTAGGATAAACTTCAAAATTTTGCTTCTGACTTACAAATCCTTGAACCATCAAGCTCCTCCATATCTGTGTGAACTTGTCCATTACTACAACCCGCCGCGTGCTCTCAGGTCCGAAGATAAGCTCCTCCTAGCTGTTCCGAATGCACGTTTAAAAAGCCGTGGAGAAAGGGCTTTCTCTGTCTGTGCACCGAAGCTGTGGAACACATTACCACTGCTAGTGAGGCAAGCACCAACAGCTAGCATTTTTAAATCACGCATGAAAACTCACTCAACCTAGCGTATACCACATAATTATGAACCTCACTTAAAATGGACTTCACAATATAAACTTCCGTATTATTGAGGTTCTTTTTTAAAATGTTTTTCTTATTTTTTTAATTCTCCCTGTGTTTTATTGATTTTTAGCTGTTAGTTTTAGGAATTTTGTTGTTTTTCCTTTTATCTTTTATCTCTGTTCGACATGTTTGTATAACGCCGGTTGAATTAACTAACATTTTTAGTGTACAGCACCTTGTTTGGTTGTAATGCCTTGTTGAATGTGCTTTATAAATAAAATTGGAATTGGAATTGAACAAAGTGAAGCCAAGAGAGCGGTGGGGGTGGGGGGGATCAAGAGCAACGTTTTCCTGTGGTATCCGTGAGGGCGCACCGGGTTGGTTAGCGTTCCTCCCCTAGATATGTATATAAACGCGTATATACATATCTATGCTTCCTCCTACGTCCATCACAGCAGTGGGTGGGGTTTGAGCGGGTGAGTTTGACCGACTTCCGGGGGGGTTTGTTAAGATGAACGGCTCTCTGCAGGGACTCGGCTCTCATCATTCACTTTGAAAACCCGTTCAAAAGATTTGATTCGTTCGTGAACGTCACACCACTGTTTGGGAGTATCCCAGTTTATAAAGCCTTATATTAAAGCCAGAGTCTCACTGGGCTGCAGCTGTTGGTGGGAAACTGCGAATGGCATTTGCGAGGCAGTTTCCAAAGTGTCTCCAAAAGCGTTCTTTATAGGTCCGCTCCCACTACAGGAGCCAGTGAGTACCGGGGAAGAAAACCTCAGAAAACAACCCTGCTAGGGATGTGAAGCTCATTCGAAGTTACCTAGAATTTTCGAGGCTCTTTGTTGATCAAGTATTCAAGAATTCCCAGGATTCCCAGAGACACCCATTACACTTGTGCATATGAAGAACCAAGGAAGGAAATGCCTTCTGATGGACTGCAGCTCAGCCATGTAAATCAGATCTTAAGGAAATGCAACTAACAAGTTCTGAAGGGTAAAAGGGCTGTGGGTCACAGAGTGGAACTATTATTTCCCTAAGACCTTTTACATCATGTCCATTAACCTTTAAACAAGCTTCTTTCACTTTATTGCAAGATTTTATTTTTTCTAAAACCAGACTTAACTGGACTTTTCTTTTTTCCCATGATGTTTCTCTTCTCATCTAAGAAGCTTCTTCAGTTCCAAAACTCAGGTCGAGAGTAGGAGGCCTAAAAGATGTGGTCTGAAACAAACATGCTGATAGGGCGATAGAAGTCACTGGCATAGCCATTGTTATTACAAATGAGGCCATCAAGGTCACAAGTCTCTGGCTCCTTCCACTGATCAGCTGCCTGTTTGTGTCATTAGTGCTGACGATCAAGAAAAAATTCTGTTGTATTCAATGAAACCTTCCAGATTAGCCTGCCCTGGACGGCTGATGATCCTGTCTGGAACCCTCCCAGTGAGTTCAGGTGGCCCAAACGTGAAAAACGTTAGACAAGAAAGCGTTTTCCCAACAAATGTCTACAGTCGCTCTCACTGGGACTCTGATGACAACAGCTGAAGGCATAAGTTGATGTGAGTCTTAAAACTCAGTGACAGCGATGATCGAGGAGAAGCAGGAAGTTGTCAACACTAACTGCTGTTTTTCATCTCCCCCTGCTGGCTGTGTAGTGTTGCTGCAGCAGATCTGTATCTGCCTTTAGATTATCCCATCCTTCCTTTGCTGCACACACACACACACACACACACACACACACACACACACACACACACACACACACACACACACACACACACACACACACACACACACACACACACACACACACACACACACACACCTGAAACTTACTCTGGCAACTTTAGAAATAACTCAACACTGATCCGGTACTTCAAAGGCCCCCTCTCCATCATTTCCTGAGCACATCCACACCATTAGCTGAATGGCTAAAGAGCACGGCCACGATTACATTTTAATAAGGCACCTGCGGGACAGCCAGCCTGCACTCATCTCTCTGCTTCCGGAGAGGAATGAGAGTCACACCTGCTTTCATCATTCTCATTAATACTCTGTCAATACTTTAATCACCCCTTAATGATGCTATTATGGCGTCCATTTCTGGAGAATATGGCTGCTGTGTCACTGAGACCCACAGAAAGGGCTTCTTCTTCTCATCGAAAGCCCACAGATCCACACACTGCAGTCACTGAAGTACGTTTGGTGTGTGACAAATGGAACTGATCCAGTGTGCTGACCTCACTCACTTTTTTTAACCAGAGCAGATTAATATTTCAGCATTCATCTATAAAATATCTATACAAAAAACATTTATTTTAGTAAGAATTAAAGACACAATCAATTTTGTGGATATATGCTCCCTGTCGCCCTCTCAAGGCTTGCTGTCATAAGATCAAATCTCTGTCACTCATAAGAGGCATGTTTACTGGCTGCTTTCCAACTCGCGTGCCCAAACGAACACATTAGGCGACTTTCTGCATTGAACAAAGTTTTATCAGGACTGTTTAACAACGTTATGCCTGACTAAACACAATAACCCCGGTGAAATGATTCGGTAGGTCAGAGTCCATAGTACTTGCCGTTCTTTCAACGAGAGCTCTCCAACAAGGAAAAGCCGGCACAATATCAACTCTGGTCTTTGCTCTTGCATTTTCTTTTCCTTTTCCTAGATTCCTCCGATAAAGGACTTCTAGCTTTCTTTGGTGGATCTGCCATTGCTCAAGTCTCTGCAGGTCTACCACACACATAGGCACAATCCCGATACTTGCCCTGTGGTCTTCAGCAAAGTGCACTTGGAGAAAGTGCGCCGTAAGGCTTTGAGTGTGTAGTACACGCGTGCGCAAATAATTGGTGAATTGAGACAGGGAGCATTGCGTCTTCAATCACAGTTCATGTCGGGATGCTGGTCGCTGTGCTACTTTTTAAAAAATACTTTATTAGCAACCTTCAAAAAACATTCAATTATTTTAAATAATTTTAAGTTCGCTGCTGCATTGTCAAAAATTTTTGAGCATCAACGAATCGTCCTAAAGGAACTTCTTTCATTAGAAAATACATATGTTCAGAAAAGGAGCTAGAGCCTTTTCTTCCACAGCAATGGATTGTGTGTGTAGAGAAATAGAGTGATGAAACTATCTAGAGTTGTATTTTAATATACTGTAAGTAGATCACTTGTTATAATCAGAAGATGGGCTGTTTTTATCATCAGGGAGTTTAATTAAACACTCTGTATTGACTTTGAGACAAGAAAAGAGAGAGAGTTGGGATCGTTTAAGAATCTTTAATTTCTTAATTATAAATTCTACAATCTACCAGGACTAACTCTGTGATGGATGAAAATGGATTTGGATGTTGTGTTGGTGCGTGTGTGTGTGTGTTTTGTTCAGGATCTTTAGGCTGACGTCATTGAATCTGGTAGTCTGATTGTTATGACTAGATATCACGAGGCTTATAAAGTGATGACATGAGCTGCTATTTTGCCGTGTACGTACCCAGTGGGGGCCTCCCAGGTAGATCAGGAAATGCCAGGTCTGAAGACCTCGGATGTGCGCTGGAGCTGGTCGAAACAGCGATCGCAGCGTTTCAAAGCCCGTCTGAAGGGTCGACCCAGGTAACAATCGGCAGCGTCAGCAGGTGCTCTTATTTTGAAAGGATGTCGTCTGGTTGTTAAACGACGAAAATCTCCAACTTCACAGTTCTTAGTTTAAAGAAGAAAACACATCTGGCCAGGCTGTGCTTCTCTTTGGGATGACGGTGAATAGAACTGAAGTCAAAATGGAACTGAACTTAAAATGGCGTTGCCTTGTTTTATATCTCTGAATTGTTGATAAGTTTTAGTAAAGCGGATTGGACACTTTAAGTCAACAAGCCAGATTCTCTTGCGGCAGCCGAAAGCTCTGATTGGTTGGAACAATGTGTCATGCGTTTCTATGGAGATGAGGGTCAGTCTGTCTGTGCAATAGTCCTGTTTTCATTAAACACATAAATCATGACATCTTTATTCCACAGATCATTCACTTGATTATTATTGATCATCAATCTATTTCTCTACATGTGTAATACACTTCATCCAAGTCCGCATCGATGCAGACTTGGGTGAAGTGCGGATCAAGGGCCAAAAGAGGCGTGACCAACTTCCACACTTGAGAATCGGAAGCCCTACACACTCGCACCCCTGGTCGGGGTCACGCAACTGAAGGGTGCAAGTGTTGGGATTGGGACCTATATACATAGGCGCCCCATGGACTGACGTTGCCTGCTGAAGCTGCCGTGGTGGCCGGCCGCCATTTTAGATGGGTCCCTAGTGCATAGATTTGTACTGAGGAAAGTGCTTACCCAACTAAAAACCCATGTTATCAAGCATTTTCACAAAATCAGACACAAGGTGTGGCATGATAATTAAAATATAAATATAATTAAACAAAACAAATAAAATTACATTTAAGCATAAAATCCCATCAGGTAGGCTAGAAAAGTCACTAGTAACTCAAGTACCCTGGTTGTTGCAACCATGGGCTGCAGAGAAACGGGCGTTGTTGCTAACCCTAACTCCAAAACATCATCACAGCTCAGAAAAGGAACACAATAGATGATAGTCCACCACCAAAACCTTTTAAAAAAACTTTATTTTAAGGTGTACAATTTGCAGGATGTGTCTAACAAAGGAATTCAATAGTTGTTTATTCTCATAATTATATGATGTAGTTCACAGTCACACGGCATCATCCAGAACATGGATGGTCTTTGCAGGGTCTTGGTAACACAGAATAATTAGCTACTGAATGTGACGACGATTTTCCTGATGTCAATAATGGACTCAAATTTATTAACTTTAGGGTCAAGAAAGTTTTTTTAATAGTTTTATTTTCCTCTCATTTTGCCACTAGAATATGTTTTTGAATGCAGTATATGATGTGAGAGAGGGCTGCCCAGCCTTAATTCATGCCCCACTAGTGCCAGAGCAAGGAGTAAATGGTCTACTTTGTATTGTGCATTTCTAAGGAAGGGACTCCTGGTTGGAGGAGCTACGCTGTAGCTGCACTGGGGCTCACTGGCAGAGGTGAGGTCACAGGTCCCTTCAACTACCAGCAGCAGTCAAGGAAGGTGACGTGTCCTGCTAAGGACACAAAAGCAGTTTTTACAGGACCATAGCGTTTGCAAAACGGGATTTGCCGCGGCTCCCTGGGGAGGATAAAGGTCGTTTATAAGATCAGACCGTGGCGGTAATGTGGCACAATCGTGGCAATTTTATAAAAGATTAGGTGATAGCGGCATAAAGGGGGTATGGGTCGGTCTCTGCGCTGCTGCAGACTTCTGTTTATCTTGGACATAACTTGCTTTTTATTGCCATTGAAGCCATGGTCGTTACGTTTTTTTAACAAGCAGCTCCTGAAGGTGACAGTCCCCATCAGTCCCTGTGCAGTCTCTGGTGATCTGAGCTTCAGCTCTAACAGAGAGGCTCGTGGAGCGCTGCGGCGCTCCAGTGTGCCATCTCAGCTGATTTTGTTCAAAAAGCAACCCTTATTGCCCGTGTTTACTTTCATTTTCAATCAATTTGCCAGCGGGAGCTCAGCAATAACTCCCCACGCCATCATGACATCTGCCTCTGCTGCACCAGGATGCATACGACAGGCCATTACCGCAATATCACTACCAAGTGAGGTGGAACGAATGCTGCAAAATTCACGCAACGCCATGCCGGCATGGCGCGTTGAGAAGACATACCATTGCGGTAATATTACGCCGATTTGCCAGCATGGTGTGTCTTATAAAAGAGGCTAATGACTGACACTTGGAGCATGGGTTCAAACCAGCAACACACCAATTTCACATCAGGGTCCGCTCCACTCTGCCCAGATACGTTAGGGAGTGTTCACATCTGGATAGGCTTTTTTTTCTGGCGCAACATGGCCACATGGCCACATGGGTAGCACACGCCACCCCTGCAATCTGATTGGCCACCCCAGGTGCCACCACACTAATTTACCTTTAAATAGGCTTTTCATTGTCCACAAAAGGCTTGGGGGTAAAACAAAAAAAAAAAAACATAACCATTGGTGCCACCCATGCACAAAGTTGTGCCTCACCTGGGCCACCCCATTTTAAAAGATCTGGGCACGCCACTGACACACCCGCCGCCAAATGATTCACGCTGACCTTTAGGGGAAGCCTCTGATTGGCGATTAGAAACTGCCAGCAGGGGCATATCATTCTGGATACCGAGGAGTAACACCCCCCTGGCAAGAAATAGCAGCCAGGGGTTGCAGTCATACGGTGTTTCTGTTGCTGCTTACCTGTGGTGAGATCTCTGTGGTGCTGGGGTGATCCTCTGATCCGTTTGTGTGTGTTTCTGTTCTTGTGTCGGTCCGCTTCAGCTTGTGGGCCGCACTCACAGCAGTGGGGTCTTTCTTGGCCACTGGAGGCTGTGAGAAACACAAAGAGAAGTCTATTATGTCTTCTCATTGTTCAACGGAAAGCAACCGAACACATCAAATGAAAAAACAAACTGTCCAAAGAAAATAATGTTTTATTAGGATTTTTGGGTTGAACACAACAAATGATGATGCAAAAGTAGAGAAATTTTGAGAAACACAACCATTAAAAAAATATACAGGAACTGATTTGAACAAAAGAAAACCACATCTAACAAAATGTTCCAACTAAAACATGAAATAAATAAAATTAGGAGATGGTATGAGGACTTTCCCAGCACGCCAGGTGAATCCAGCTGGTGATGAAGTCTACCTCATGATGCATTCCTTCCTCAGGAAGCTTCTCTTCCATGGGAAACTTGTCCCTGGAGCCCATCAGACGGGCCGAGTAGAACCTGGAGGTCTCCTCAAAATCCTCCCGTCCCACCTCCGGCTGCCGCTCATGCTCTCCCAGCTCCGACGTACACTTAGTAAGGTCCTCCACACCCGAGTGGAGATCAGTGATTATGGTAAAGTCCACCTCGGCCTCCAGGCTGGATGTGGAGCTGACCGTCATGCTGGAGCACTTACGCTCGATGCCCAGCTGGGTTTCCCTCATGCAGGCCACCGTGTCCTGCTCCTCCTCTGAAGCTACGCTCGGCTGAGGCCTCCTCTCCACAAACTCCTTCTGATGCAGCACAGACAATGAATCACCTCTCTGCTATCAGACTACCATAGTTAGATCAGGGTGATATTAAAGACAATGACGGGAGTGGGAACCTTTACAGGTGTGTATACTCTTAGTCACTGTGCATGCAACAGATCAACGTACAAAATCTACGGCAAGCAAAAAGAAAGACGTTCAAATAGCAAAACGGGTTTGTAGTCATGGAAAATCCCCTTTTGGAGCTTTTTACCATGTGATATTGTTATTTCTAATGCTTTTGGCTGCATTCATGCACTTTCTGTCTCAGCTGCAAATTTTGAGTTTTACTTTGAAAATTCTCTAAATAGAAACTAATCTCATCATCAGGGCCTGCTCCTCTGCTGGAAGCTTGTCTCTGGTCTAAAACCAGGCTTAGGCGCCTGGTGTCATGTAACAGACTTGGTAGTCCAGTGGTTAAACATTTGATTTTCTTTCTGACAAACTGTTGAATAAACTACATAAACCTATTTCATCTAAAATAATATCCTGACTCTTTGAACAGAAACATACCGTACAAATAAATAGAATTTGTCATTTAAAAGTCACGGATTAGGCCCCTGATTGGTGTTTAATTAAGCTAATTTATGTAAAAACATGAAAATGGAGACAAAAGGTTTTAGCCCAACAATCATTTGTTCAACCAGCAAGGTCCCGTTTAAAAAACTCTCTAGATGAAAACGAGGGAGGAAGAGCTGGCAACCCTTTGGCTGGTAGTCAACCACTCTCACCTAGCCACCTCCATGAGAAGTAAAATGAACTGCAGACGCATCCATAAAGTACTCATTGTTTCTTTTATGTTGCCTTTTATTAGGGGTGTAATGGTAGCCCAAACGTACGTACAGTGGTTTTAATTTAACGTTTCGCTTCATTTTCAGACACGTTGGAAAGGTTTAATAGTTAAAATAAAATTCTCAGAAAAAACACATATGTACAAAAAAATCATTCAAATAAAGAAATGGATAATATAAACAGTATTTCCTGATTAGTAAACGGGAAACACCAATACTTTGGCCCTCTCAGCTGCAACTGAGAGAACAGGCTGAACTATCACAAAATAGAAATGTTTTCTATCTTTAGGAAAATCTATTTTCTGGATTTGCTTAAATGTAACTTTGAGTTCCCGTTTAATGGAACCACCTTGTTCATGTTTATCCAACCTTCATGTTTTATCCATAAATGTTCATTTGTCCACATTGTCTGAAACTTTTTCGGCAATGTGTCCAGCCGTACATCGCTGGGTGCACGTGTAGCTAATGTGGCATATTCCACATTGCTGCTAAGTTTAGTTGTAACTTCTAGTGAGCGTTGTCACAGTTGCTAAGTGACAAGACATATGCCAACATAAGACCGTCCAATTACACAGCCATTTATTTCTGGTCTTCTGGGCTGATAAAGGACACAGCCTACATGGACCAGGAAGGCTGTGTCCTTCAAAAGATGCATCCCCTGAATTTGGATGCAGCCATTGTTGCTAGCTAACGCTGTAACACCTCTGACCCATACCCAACGGACAAATCCTGTTACACCCCTACATCTTATCCATCTTGGGGTTCTGTCGCGTAACTGTAAACATTTTACAGATATTCTACATCAGGATTTTGTTTTCCAGTCATCTGGTCAAAAATTCATTTGCATATCTAACCTGACTTCAGAAAAACTGCGTGTGTGAAGAACCAAACATTTTGGTCAATGTTCCCTTCTATTTTATACACTGGGGTAAAATCAGCCAAACTAACACAATGCCACAGACATTAATTAAAAGTCACAATTTGCATTACCATCTACACTAAATTAAGGAATCAAAAGAGTTTCTACTCTCAACCCACGCATCCAGTGAACAAGGTGATGGATGGGGCTGCAAAGCAACACGCTTCGTGTCATGTACCTATTGACTTCTTTCTTTTTTGTGAAGTCAGAAATGCTGCAGCAGTTAATTAGCAGGCATGCAGATTAGCAAAGGGACTAAGGGAGGTGCAGAGGGAAGGGTGGGAGGGGTGGATGAGCATACAGAGCTGGATTTAAGGAGGAATTTTAAAGGAATAACCTTGAAATCAGCAAATGGCTCTTCATAAATGGCAGGAGTAGAGACAGGTTCCTGCAGGGGGGAAGAGGAGGAAAGAGCAGAGAGCATCTATGTTAGCACAGCTAAACTGTACAGCTAGGCCACCACACAGTCATAGAATATTCCAGTGCAAACCTAAACTGGGAATCTGGTGTGCGAGGAGAAATAAAGCAGAAACGCTTAAAGAAAGCCAGTAAGTTAGCATTTTTTATGTTCTGTTTGCTTGAACCCAAGTTTAGGTGGGAAATTCAGCCAGATCCAATCTGTGCCTACTGACTTTGTTCAGGTCCAGTCAGGTTCAAAAGGATCTAGGCTATAATTTCAATGACAATATGGTTCAAAGGTCAGGCAAGAGGTGAGCCTGGTAAAGCATCTGGTGACAGAAACAGTATCAGAACTAGAGAATCCTGCAGAGCAGGTGCTGAGACAATGCTGCAACCAGTATGACTTCATGAATAAATGACAGAGCGGGTTGGTCGCCAGGGACAACACAGAAGATATAGAGCATAAAGTGTGCAGTCCTGTAGCTAGAGGAAGTTTTAGTCAGATGTTTCCATCCACTCCTCGTGGGAACAACAATATTACAGCATATATTCATTTGGGCTTTTAATGATGGGTTTGATTTGAGATGTTTCCAGAGTGGAATGATTATCCAGCATTTACCCTTTTTAAGCAATAATGTAGTTCACAACTGTGGCAGAGGAGTCAAGTGCCCACTTCATACCTGAAGGGTTGTGGGATCTAATCCAGCTCAGTCTGTTGCAGTTGTTGTTAACGCCTGCTGCTGGTGGTCGGAAGGACCGGTAGCGCCTGTGCTCAGCAGCCTCGCTTATGTCAGTGCGCCCCAGGACATCTGTGGCTATAATGCAGCTCCTCACCACCAGTGTGCAAGTGTGCGTATGGATGACTGTGTGAATAGGCGGATACCTCATACAGCCATTACTTCAGTGTCTTGATGACATAAAGGCTTGGATGTCTATTAACTTTTTAAAATTCAATGATAAAAAGACTGAGGTGATGATTTTTGGTAGTCCTACTGAGACCCCCAATGTGTGTGTTGATTCCCTGGCCCAGTTTGTTAAGCCAACTGTCGCAAACCTGGGGGTCAAAGTGGACTGTGATCTGACGTTTGAATATCAGATTAGGGCGGTGGTAAAATCTGGCTTCTTTCACCTCAGGCAGCGGGCGAAAATAAAGCCAATTCTTTCACGGCAGCACTTCGAGACAGTGATCCACGCCTTCGTTACCACTCGGCTGGATTACTGTAACGCACTCTACATTGGGGTCAGTGCATCTTATATTAGTCATCTACAGAGGGTGCAAAATGCCGCTGCCTGTCTTTTAACTGTCACTCCAAAGTTTGAGCACATTTCCCCTGTTTTAGCTTCACTTCACTGGCTGCCCATTTCTTTTAGGATTCATTTTAAAATTCTTTTGTTTGCTTTTAAATGTCTCCATGGCCTTGCACCTTCTTATCTCTCTGTCCTGTTACAGCCTTACACACCCTCCCGCTCTCTCAGGTCAGCTGATCAGCTGCTCCTGGATGTACCCAGGGCTGGGCGTAAACTTAGAGGAGATCGCGCCTTTGCTGTAGCAGCTCCTAAACTGTGGAACGAGCTTCCTTCAGAGATAAGACAGGCCTTATCTGTTTTAAGTCTCCCTTGAAAACACACCTCTTTACCCTTGCTTTTGCCACCTTGTGAGATGTTGGCTGCTATTTTTAGTTTTGACTTATTTAGCTGTTTTGGGGTGTTTCAATGCTGTTTTTAACTAGTTTTTATTCTTATTATTGGGCTGTTTTAATTTTATGTCTCATGTGTTTTATTTATTTCTCTTTGCTGCTTTCTGTTTATTCTATTGTTTTAATGTGTTTTCTGTACAGCACTTTGTTCCTGTGCTGGGTGTTTTAAAGTGCTTTATAAATGAATGAATGAACGAACAAACGAACGAACGAACGAACGAACGAATGAATGAATGAATGGGTGAGTGGCTGGTTGTGTTGTGAAGGGTCTTGGGGGTTCTAGAACCCAAGAAAGCATTACAAATACAAGCCGTTTACCATTCCCAAGCGTTAAGTTTTCTGTGGATTTTCTCCTCACCAAAGTAGGATCATGTTCACATAAATCTTATAATCAATGATCTGGAAGGTTCAGCCCAGTAGGGTGATGTTGGGCGATCACGAGTTACCTCACGGTGGTAGCTTCATGTTCTGGTTCTGGTAACTTAAAAAGGACAACTTCCAAAACGTCCTGCTTCACTTGAACTCAACAGTTGGATGGGTGGAACAGCTGGATGTTCTACCAGGATGGTGACCAAAAACACATCAGAACTGGATTCTGATTGGATTAATAAGGCCAATGTTATGCCTCTGGAATGACCTTCCTAAAGATCCAACCTCAACCTTGTCGAAGCGAAGCTTTGTGGACTATTACAGTTTCTTCCTTTGGGGGTTCATTGGAGATAATTTGAGACTATGCAATATTGCTAGTTGTGAGTGTGTGTGGCTGTTTCTTAGTCTATATGTGTCTATGTGATTGACTAGATCAGTGTCCAAGACCAGCCAAGGCCCCCCAGCCCTATTTCTTACCTGCATACACAAATTAAAAGTGATTACTTACAAACTTTAAACAGACAGAGTTATAACTCTTATACCGAGTTTTTATTGTGCGGTTGGATGTGTTACCGGGATGTTATAAATACAACTTTTACAAAAAGAATATTGGTAGCATCACAACCTCAGCATAGACAATATTGTAGAGACCCCATTGGAGAGTCATGGGCCCAGATTGGATCCACCTTTCCAGGGTGTCCCCCGCCTCTCGCTACTAGACTGCTGGAGATTTCCCCGTGACCGTAGTTAGGATGAACTTTTGCAGATGATGGAAAAAACGCAGAAATGACAACTGTCTCACACGCAGCTGTAGCTTTTTAGAAGAAAAATAAGAAGAAGAAGAAGAAGAAGAAGAAGAAGAAGAAGGAAATATGATTTCTATAGCGCCTCTCAAGATAAAAATCACGATGCGCTTCACAAAAACAAAAAATGTAAAAATATAAAAAAGAATTTTAAAAATGGTAAAAAAATTAGATTTAAAATGAGCAAAAATAGACAATTGTGATTAAAAAATGTAAAGAAAGAGAGAGAGAGTAAACAGGAAAGAGGGAAATCAGTGGATCCTGAGGAAGGTGGAATAGGTGGGGAGAGCAGAATAAAGAGAGAGTGGTGAAGAAGGTCATACAAAAGCCAGCTTGAACAAGTGAGTCTTCAGCTGCTTTTTAAAGGAGACCACTGAGTCCACTGATCTCAGGCTCAGGGGGAGAGAGGTCCAGAGTCTGGGGGCCACAGCAGCAAATGATCTGTCACCTTTGGTCTTTAGCCTGGTGCTGCACAACTAGTAGGCTTTGATCACTGGACCTCAGGGACCTGCTGGGGGTGTAGGGACTAAGAAGATCACCAATGTAAGATGGTGCTTGTCCATGTAAGGCCCTATAGACCAGAACCAGGATCTTGAAATGAACCCTGAAGTTGACTGGCAGCCAGTGGAGCTGGAGGAGAAGCGGGGTGATGTGGGAGCTGTAGTCAAAGATGGCATCTGGCGACGGCGCAAACATCTTTCTTTAGAAGAAAGGCTTTTATGTAGCGCTTCTTCTTGTTGATATTTTAAAGACATGCCTAAGTCATTTAAAACAGAGAAAAGAGCTGCAGCAAACTCCGCTTCAGAAGCCATCTTCGTTGTTTGTGAGAAACTAGGCGTTACGGTGTGTGACGCACGCTGCTCAGTACTGATTGGCTCGGTTACAATTCTCAGGGGCCGGGGCTATTTGAATGGGAGCATTACCAGGTCCTGTGCACTGGCTTGGCTGGCCAGGCTAGTGCTGTATTTACCCGAATATAAGACACGTTTTTTTTTCATTGTGTCGTCTTGTAATCGGGGTCTAACCATCACACGCCCTTAATAGCAGAAGGCACCAGGCTGTATGTTCTCAACAGGAGAAGAAAATGGAGACAAGGGGTCCAGAGCAGAGTGGACCAAAAGTGGGGCAAATTAACAAGCTATATGGCAGAGTTATGTGAATTTTAAGATGACGGCGGTCAATTCAGCAGAGGCGTCAAACAAAAGGCTGAGTTCAGATGGGTCAGGTAATGGATGACACATCATCAGCGGAGCCATCTGCCTCGACAGCAACAGATCCACAGCAGCAGCCAAGACATGACGCCCAGGGAGGGATGGCGGAGACCCCCCACCACTACCCAGGCACCACCCGAGGAGCGCCCCGGCTGCCGCCGCCCACCGGCCCCAAGGCAGTGGGCTCCGCAGAGGAAACACTGGAGGATTAAAATATATAATATGTAAAATAACAAAAGCTAATATGGATAGAAAGTAACTGATAAAAAGTGATTATAAAGATAATAAAAGAAAACATAATCATATAAAACACTAAGATGTAAATAAAATAATAAAATTAGTTAAATAAAAGAGATAAATAGGTGTATATATATATAAACAAATACAATAAGCGATCCAGTTAAACAGACTAGATAAATAGTAATCAGCTAAAAGCTAAGCTAAAAAGGTGGGTCTTGAGCCTATTCTTAAAAGCCTGGACGTTCCCTTTGGCCCTGAGGTCCTCCGGCAGCCCGTTCCAAAGACGAGGGCCGTAATACTTGAAGGACGCCTCGCCGTGGGTGTGTGTCCTAACTTTAGGGATAACTAGGAGACGGCTGCCAGAGGAGCGCAGAAACCGCGAGGGTTTTTATAGTAAAAGCAGTTCTGAAAGATAAGAAGGCCCGAGACCATTAAGACACCTAAAACCATTAAAAGAACCTTAAAATGGATCCTGAAACATACGGGGAGCCAATCCAGTGATTCTAAAACCGGTGTAATGTGCTCTCGCCTCCTGGTCTTCATCAGGACACGTGCTGCCGAATTTTGTAAAAGTTGTAAACCTGAGATGCTCTTTTTGGGAAGACCATAAAGCAGGGCATTGCAGTAATCAATCCTACTGGTGATAAAAGCTTGCATCAGTGTCTCCGTATTGGCCCGAGAGAGAATGGGGTGGACTCTGGCGATATTCTTAAGATGGTAAAAACCTACTTTTGTGATGTTTTTAATGTGTGGGATAAAAGTCAGCTCAGAGTCGAAAATAACACCCGGATTCTTCACTTGTAGTGATGAATAAAAAGACAATGATTGTAGTTTAAGTAAAAGTGTCTCTCTCTGGGTCTCAGGGCCGATCACTAAAACTTCAGTTTTGCCCTGGTTGAGCTGGAAAAAGTTTTCAGTCATCCATGATTTAATATCTAAAATGCAGTAAAAAAGTGTCTCCATTTGCTGTGCGTCATCAGGAGACACGGAGATGTACAACTGTGTATCGTCAGCGTAACTGTGGAAATTCACCCCGTGTCTCCTGATGACGCTGCCCAGAGGGAGCATATTGAGGTTAAAAAGCACTGGGCCTAGAATTGAACCCTGAGGCACACCGCATAAAGGTCGATACGGAATTTTCAACCCTGGAAGAGTGGTTTAAATAATCATTAAAAGCCCAAAACTAATAAGACAAAAACCTAATTTCTGAGGAAAAGAAATCTTAAACAATCAACCCGTCTATCATTTTCACACAAGACCATGCTGGTTACAAAACATTCCCGTTTAGAATAGAAGCCACTGAAAATGACACAAAAGCCAGTAAGGTGTCCATCACACAGTGCCTGTGTATATTTCAGAGTCTGCGTGGATCTACGTGTTTGGAGGAGCTTTTTATATTTTCCCACATTGTCTGAGTTAAATCAGATGGAGGTATGATTGTCACACACTGACAGCTCTGCAGCACCTCTTCTCATGCCTATTTAATCAAGTACGCAAGAGCACAGCTCAGATGAAAAGGTGGAAAAAGATGAAAGCTGTCACGTCTACTCTCTTCCAATTCATTCCTGAGCTAAATGTGTGCAAACTCCCAATGACACTAGCTCTGACTGAGCTGTTGTGTCTAGCTGCTCCTGCTGGGGGTTCATGGTTGGAGGCATCAGTGCATTTATTTCACCATGTCTCTCTATCCTGGTGACGATGATGGAAACAATTGCCCAGATTTTGTAATGTGGTTTGTTTTTATTCTTGAAAGATTGGGATATTTTACAAATTCATGAATAATTTTAATGAGGTTTGTGTTTTGGGTAGTTTTTCAATCATCTCCCCACAAACCCCATGCTTGGTTCAACCCTGATTTCTGAAATTGACTTTTGTTCTCAGATGAGTGGTTTTAATTGGTAGGATTCATGTTCCATAACCTGTTTGAAGTTTGAAAATGACACCAGGGCAGAGATGAGTAAAAGCTGAAGCGTGACACACGTTTTTGTCTTTTACGGCCAGTATTGTGATGTACAGATTTGCCAGGGTGTTGGTAGAGAGCAATGGGAGAGGATAAACAGAGTTGCCATATAGGACGATGTTGAAAGCTTTAAGTAAACTTTCATCTCTAAACAGAGCAGCACCTTTCCCTTAAACAAACACAAACAGGTAAGATGGATGAGCGTTTGAAGTCACTGAAAACGCAAAGAAACACGGCGTGCAAGTCTGCCTGAAGCTCATGCTTTGCCTCCAATGACTGAATAGCAGATGCCAAGCAGAGTTACCGAGTGTCTCTTCTTGGCTGCGTCCAGGCTCTGCTCCCTGCCAGCATTCCGGCTGTTCCGCAGTATTAGTCCGGACTCCCTGGCCTTCTGCGTTTTCACTGGTGGAGCTGGAGGAGCCATTTTAGGAAGAGCTGACATTTTTGAGCTGAATAGTTGATTCTCTGCAGAGCCCCTATCTGACTGGGAGCTATCCTCTTGGTGTTTGGCTTTAGGGAGGGCCTGCAGATCGGCTGGGGGTGATGAATGAATAGCAGAGACATCAGACCAGTTAAGGTCTGACGATCCCTCCGGAGAGCCAACGGACCAGCGGTATTCTCGTCTGACGATACGTGATGGCTCTTCCTGCCCTATCTGTTCCCTTTCGTCCTTACCTGCTACACTTTTTGACCTCTCTGGCTTCAGAGGAACGATCCTGGTGATCTCAGATTGATAGCCACTGCCTGACAGCCGGTGGAGGGATGTCCTCTGACCTCTGTCACCCAGGAAACCCTCAATGTCCTCTCCACCTGAACTGCTGATCTTTCGCTCATGAGACCTGACTTGTCGAAGTTTCACCTCGGCCAATTCTTTGTTATCAATAAGGCTCTTTCCTCTCACCTTCACCACACCCTCTCCTTTGACACTGGCTAATGAACTTTCATGTTCTATCTTTCCAGGTCCGTTTAAGGAGCTTAAATTAACACCTGCCATCCCAACCTGGTTCACCTTCCTCTTCACCTGCTCTATTCCTTGACTGTCGTCTGATAAATCCTCTTTTTTGTTGTCTTTATTTGCACTGACAAACTGATCCTTTCCTAATGCCTGATCATCTGTTGCCATGAGCACCGGGGATGAATCACAATGATTTCCTCGATTAGGCATTTTGTCTGAAGTGTTGTCTGAGTCAGAGTCTTCCTTTTCCTCGCCAGAGGAATCGCTCCCAGCCTTCCTGCTGACAAGCTCTGCTGGCATTTCCAGGTTCAAGCTCTGGGGTCTCCATTTTTTCCTTGGTTTAGAACCCACCCTGTCTTTAATCTGGCGAGAGCCTGGGGCCACATCGCTGCTTGCCTCGGGGCCTGAGGTTTGAGATGGTTTACTTTGAGATTTGTCTTGAAACCAGTCTACATTCTCAGTCTCAGAGAACAAGTCCACCTCTCTGGGTGTTTTTGTGACCGAACATTCATCGATTTGGCTTCTGGCTTCTTTTCTGTTGTACTGTATCACCTCTTTCTGTAGCATTTTGGTAATGTCTATCTCTTTATCCAGCTGCTTTTTCTCCCACGAGGAATCCGATATGAGAAATTTGTTCTTTTCTTCTCCTTTAAAGCCTTGGTCTTGTTGAAAAGGTTGCTGTTTTTCAATCAATACCCATTCTTCAGAGCCCTACATGATGGTATAGATTAAGCACAGTTAGACATGCCAAACACAACGGCTAACAAGCAATGAATTTCATATTAAGACTTTCATGACAAAAAATAAATAAGTCAAATGTACAGCTGCTGTATAATGATGTTTTAGAAAACAAGAATTTACTGTTCAGTACGTGACTCTCAACCCTCCCACTGTCCTCATGGGTGTGACCCCGCAAGGAAAGTTGACCGTTGAGGAGGATTGATGGTTTATCCCTTGGGTCCATGTGGCAGGGGTGAGGAGTGAGCACCACCTCACCCCTGCCACGTGGAACTCGAGGGATAAACCATCAATCCTGCTCAATGGTCAACTTTCCTCGCGGGGTCACCCGTAAAGACAGTGGGAGGGTTAAACAGACAAATGAGAGAAAGGAAGTAAAACTGCACCAACTCCCCCAACGTGATAAACAGTAAAATGTTTGATAAACAAAAAGAAGTGCAACCTCAGGGGAAGTGACCACAGTCTTCTGGACGAAACCCTCAACAGACAGGCTGTTAGCAGGGTCCTTCCCAGCTGCCCGGCCCCCCAACTGGCCAAGAGGAGAGAGTTTGAAAGAGAAAGAAGAACAGCTGTTAAAGCTCAGACACAAAGTGACAGAGTGAGTTAGTGAGACACACCATCTAAAGAAACTGCAGGGAAGTAGAAAGAATAGTGAGGAAGAATAGCACACATGCTATATAGTTCAAATGACGGGGACAATGGAGGGTGCTGACCCCCTAGCCAAGACTTTAAATCCTGAACAACAGTAGGCCCAGAATATGATTAAGTATTACCGCTGTCATTTCTTTGTGAAATATCACCTTTTTTTGTGACCCATTACTATTGCTCAGACATAAGATGCATGGATTAGATGAAACTCCGCCTCCCCCATGAGGATTCCACAATAGTACACAGCTGCAGACCCAGAGACCACAGATCCACCGTCATGATAACCCCACTCCCAGCGAGTTTGCTGTGGGAGGGTTGAGCTGCTAACACTTGCACACACACACACACACACACACACACACACACACACACACACACACACACACACACGCAGGTCCTTGCACACACGGACACACACGTTTGTGACAGTAGGCACGTACACACATGACTCAAGGCTAGAAAAGGAGTGTAGCTGAATCAATGTTCAGTTCCTGATGTTTGCAACGTTCACCTGATTTGCAAAGCTACAAAATCTCCAGCCAGCAAACTGGACTATTTAAATTGTCCACCACATCATACATACGGGGGCGACGGTGGCACAGGAGTTAAGTGCTCGCCTTGCAATCGGAAGGTTGCAGGTTCGAGCCCCGCTCAGTCTGTCGCTGTCGTTGTATCCTTGGGCAAGACGCTTAACCCACGTTGCCTGCTGGTGGTGGTCGGAGGGACTGGTGGCGCCAGTGCTCGGCAGCCTCGCCTCTGTCAGTGCGCCCCAGGGCAGCTGTGGCTACATCGTAGCTCATCCCCACCAGTGTGTGAATGTGTGTGTGAATGGGTGAATGACTGATTGTGTTGTAAAGTGCCTTGGGGGGTTCCAGGACTCTAGAAGGTGCTATATCAAATACAGGCCATTTACCATTTACATATACAGCCACCAAGGTAAGAAAACCATGAACTGATGAAGTTAACTCGACTGACTTAAGTCACACGGTGAGCTACATTTTCAACATAGTTTGAAAACCAAAGTACGTCATTCATTCTTGAGCAAGTAGTCTATTATCCTCAATACTGACTCGAGAAATTCAAGATTATGAATCTACTAATAACGAGCATCAATCTGAGACAACTCATCTCCACAGATGACAGAGTTCGTCCCTTCAAACCTAATTCCTAATATCGTTTTATTTCATGAACTCCATTTTAATGAGCAGTCGTTGGCTGTGAACGTGCTTCATTCACCACTTACCTGTATTTATTAAACATAACGAAAACGAGAATTACACTCAACGAGGTTCTGTGATAAGACTGAATCATCTATTGTTTGTTTTCAGATCAAAATTGTGATTTCAGACACCGCGATCATGTGATCACCAAGGCTGCGTTATTTTGCTGCGATACTGACTGACCCAGGATTTGTTGAGGGTTGTGTGACCTCGCTGCTTGAGTTGAAGAAGTGTCGCCATGAGCTTGTGGACCATACACATTTGGTTGGTTGTTATTTTGTTTGTTTGTTTTTGAAACACAGTCTCACACCGTAAGCGTCGAAAAATTACGCGGTGTGACCAAGCGTTTGTTTTTGCGATGTGTTGTGAGCCACTGCTCATCGGTTGGCGACGCGCTGTGCCAAAGCGTCGGTATCCGATGCCCGCGATAAAACGGACATTTGATCGATTTGTGGCCTTTACCCTCTTGCTATTTAACCTTCCCCTCACCCCCATCCTAACCTTAACCAGCTTGTGCATGCAAAACTTTGTTTCACCTTTCCTCTCAAACACAATTAACGGAAAATTTAGACTGACATGTAGGGTCAAGGCTAGGATAGGGGTGAGGGGAAGGTTAAATTGCTATAGGTTAGAGGTGAAATGTCGGTGAAATCTCCATTTTATCGAGAGTGCCGGATACGACGCTCTGGCCTCCCGATGCGCAGTGGCTCCAAACGCGTCGGAAACAAACACTTGGTCACACCGCGTCATTTTTCGACGCTTAGGGTGTGAGAATGTGTTGGTTTTAGTGGTGCTGCAGCAGCCAATTTAATCTATGGCTGTGGTCGTCTGTCTTGACTTTGCAACATGTGTGTGTGTGGGAGGGCGAGACAAAGAAGCTTAAGCTTGGTTTATGCTTGACGCATTTACTTGGTGATGCATCTGGTTCATGTGGCTTGTCTCTGCGTTGAGCCAATATTCTCCCAAACTGTAGGGGGCAGCATGGAGCTCTACGGCACGCATCCAACACTACACCATAGTAGATGTAAAAATTACCGTCGTTTACAACATGGCATTCCAGCATTTTTTAGCAGCGTCCTCGACTTTTCCGACAGTGCGAGCTATTTCTCTCCAAGAATTGTTAACAACATGTTGATCACGGTGATCTCTGAGAGCTGAATCATACAAATGTCTGTATTTACGAACCTCTGCCATACTAGTTCTTGCCAGTCCGTCATGTTTTTCTGCGTCCGACCGTCCGCGTGGTTAGAAAATTTCCTAGGCGCGCTGTGCGAAAAGTTTGGGCCGTGCGGAGGCGCGGTGGAGGGGTGTGGTTGTTAAAATGACGCAACTTTTCCGCGCAGAGCCGTGCGAAACTCATGGACCCCTCAAGCATAAACCAAGCTTTATTCGCCAGCTTCCTGCAACTGCAGAAAGGAATGTACTATAACACCACCTTGTGGAAATGAAGGGCACAACTTCTTTCCTTCAAAAACCGTTTGAATTCTTCTGATGGCAGTGCGGAGTTACGCTAATTTACAGCATGCAACAATGTGTTGTGTACCTGACGGACGGAAATCACATGACCAGATCTGAAAATATTTGCTGATTTTTTCCCCACAAACAAGACCACTGTTTGTCCTGCTATGAAGTGTCACGTCTCTGACTTTTCCAACCTTCTACTGTCACACAGCGACACGCCCGCTGCTCTGGTTCGGTGCACAGTGGATTACACTTCCTGCCTCAGACATCTGACGGTTGACGAGCTTAATCTGATTACAACAGACAGTGGGCTAGATACTGCCTGAGGGCAACTTAAGCATCAACAAAGACAAATGCCAGTTGATCTAAAACCCTGATCTTATAACAGAATCTGATGACAACCTGAGAGAATTTGTAATTTTGCATAAAACACGCCACTAATCAGCAATCAACAAAAATGAGTAATGATCTCTTCTGAAAGGCCTTGAATTAAGCAAATCTCCCCCGGATCTCATCACGATGCTTCTTTCACCGCTGCCTGTCTGTCATCTACAAGCATCAGAGGTACTAAAAGGATTACACCTGGAACCCCTGAGAGAGACAAAACGCTCTCCATTATATGCTCACACATCTATAAATACGATGAGGGGTTTACGGTTTGTTTCATCTTTGCAGTTATCTTTTTTAAATGCTTGTTGGGAAACCCAAAGCTACTTTTGCTAATCTTGTTTATGTTCTTTTTTTCTTCCTTTTCTAGTTGCGTGAGACGTGCAACTCAAACATCTAAACACGCCTGTTGGGTTTTTAGGGGTTTTTTCCATCCCTCCTCAGCCAGAATTTACTTACAGCCTTCTTCTCAGGAGTTGCAGTCGGAGACGTTGCAGACAGACGCTTCTCTCGGGTCATCAGCTTGCTGTTTGGTTCCCTCAAGGCTCTCTTCAGCTCATTGATGCTGGCCTGGTGCTTCAGCAGGACATCCTTGGATTTATCAAGAAACTGGAAAGAGAGCAGGAGACAAATCAACGTACATCAACGCTTATTTACCGTTTGACAAACAGGCCTGGGGAACATGCTGTTAACACTGGAATGTATGCCAGCAGATTAGCTCAGATTACATTTGTGCTTCACAACTTTGTGTTTGTACCCATTAACTCAACCCAAAGCAGGAGAAACCAAAAGCAGTCATAGTTCCAGCTGACATGGTTTTGGGAAAACAAATGAATGCTGTAATCAGGGCTCTTGCTGAAAAGCTGATGGATGACAGCATGAATGTGAAACATCTATTCCCTTGTGTTGATTGAAATTGAAATTTCAGGAAGAGACGTTTAATTATGAGGACTCTTAGACTTTCTTCTGGAATGTGATCAAGTGGCCACAGAACTTTAAAGGGGAACAAGGTAGTGTTGGCTTGCTTTTAGCACCCCCTAGTGTCGAACCGAAAGCAAAACGTACGTCTTCGCAGATTATAAATTACTGAAATTCGGAAAAGTAAATATGAAAAATTTACAGAAAAATTTCTAAATCTATTATAAGAACATGAAAATTGTATCCAGATACATTACCCAGTTACTAACTGCACCAGTTATGATTATTATTTTGTCCGTGATTAATATTCAAGGGAACAAAAATTTCATGTTAATTTTTTTGCGTATATTTTTTCTTATGATTTAATTTAAGAAAATATAACATTTAATGTTTGAAATATTATTGTTCATAAGAACACATTTTATTTTTTTCACATCCAATAGATTGAAATTAAATCACATTTAACCAAGCCTACATAAAAGTTCGGCTCTTAAGAGGTTGAATTCCACGTTCACAAATCTGTTTAGAGGAACAACAACGGGTTTTTCGATCTGTTTTAAATGTCAGACGCTGAGTGCTGTTGTTCCATATTGAAGGTCTTATTAAACAACCTGCTGCGTTTGAAAACAGCTGGAATATCGATTCCTGCGTTCTCACAACTCGAGCAGCACACATGGAAACACGATTTAATCATTAGTAAATCAGGATGAAGCGTCTGATTCTGAAGTGAAGAACCAACACTCTCCCGTTCAGTCTACGATAACGTGGGACTTCATTCACAATGAAAACATTTGATCAACTTGCTTTTTCTGCAAAAAAATCAGAGCACTTCTCCCAACACCGCAAATGATAAAACGAAGTGATTTCTTTTGCAAGAACTTGAAAGAGGTGAGCGAGTTTCCATCTGCAAGAATAACACTCAGAACTCACGTCTGGACTTTTTATGGCATCTTATTAATAAATCCATTATTATGTCCTTCAAGAAGTGAAGGCAATGAAAGGTCAATAGGTGAAATCCGGCGAAGGTTAAAGCAGCAGCAAAACAATTAAAAGTGCCTGAGCTGTAACTGAGCTGTACCTCCTGTTTGTGCCGAGGAGTGGTCTCCTGGTCCAACTGGCAGAGCTGAGTTGGGGCAGGAGATTAGACGTGCAAAAGGAGGTGAAGAGTGCAGGGTCAGACAGTGCAAGAACAAGGTGGGAGGTCAGAGAGACAAAGAGATGGCAGACAGAGTGAAAAGCTGTATAATGGTGAGACAACTTTAGAAAGTTACATCAGTCCAGTGCGTGTTCAGGAAAACAACACAGGGGAACAGGGTGACCCCAGATGGACAACAACATGCCTGATACTCTGTGATTGGTTCACACCAAGGAGAAAAACCTGAAGCCAACAAGGAAATACCAAAAACGCAGTTCCCCCCTCAACCCCTAGGGGCTGGCACCAGAAGTGAGCCAATCCCCATTGACTTGAGTCTCGGGCTAGCTAAGTTAGCTAGTAGCTGCATTGGTTCATTTGTTCTCACTGTAACAGCCCCACCCTCAGCTCCAGCTCTTTTCCCATTTTTGGATTGTCTGGGCGTGACGAGATGTGTGACACCGTCAAAATGGCGGCAGAGGGAACCTCCCATTTGGAAACAAAAACATTTAATTCAAACCTACGAACAGGAACATTCCAGCATATATGTCGATGGTTTACACCGAACATAGTGCTGTCCATTCTGGGTAAACATTAGGGCTGGCTCATTAGGCCATAGAATTATACATTTTACTCGAGTCTGCAGCTTACAGAGAGCAATTAGGGCCGACTTCATCTTGTATCTCCTGTAATCAATAATGCACGATGACAGTGTGAATCTATTGACACAGCACTGTCATCTAATACACTACAGTCCATTACTAGGGAACATGAATGTGTTCCAATAGATGACTTAATTCCCTTTATGTAATGTACATGGATATGCATTATAATACATAATACAACACCCCTCACAAATATCTCTACTCCCTATCCAGACTAATCCTGACATTGTCAGTCGTCTACAGTGGAACATCAAATGAACCTGATTCTGCTGCAGTGTAATACCTAACTGCTTTGTGTTTTCTTTCTGTTGACTGATTCTTTGAGCGTTGCAGTCTGGCCTTACTCGCTGCAACAACACTCCAGTGTATTCTCACTTTCATAACATAAAACCAATCCACGCAAGGCGTCATGTTGTTGTGCATCTCTGGTTATATTTACCAATTTTGCAGTCTGGATTGTTTGAATTATTTTACTGAACACCTGGAAACGCAAAACTTTGAAAATAAAAGACGTTGTGATTTATTTTTCTGCTCCAAATAGCAGCATCCCTTCATGTGATGTCATGAAAGCGTCGCTCGTCTTTTCAGTAATGACTTCGATAAGAGAGACGAACCCAGAGAAAGATGGGAGCTGAGTGAGAAACATAATGCTGCAGAGTTACACAGACAGATCGCGTTGGATGGATGACGACAGAAGACAGACACCTAGTACCTCCTGTTTACTGTCCACTGGAGAGCCGCTCTCCTCCTTATTGCCAGCAGAGTTAGAAGATACAAAAAGGGTGTTAGCACACACGGCCAACCTTCAGTCTTCAGAATAACGTGAAAGGGTTCGAAACTGTAAAGCTGTTAGCAGTATTTATGAGTGCAGAGCTAGCATGAAAACCTGAGTGGAAGGAGAGGAGTTAGCCGAGGCTAAACCCATGGTGTTTCAGTCCTGCTGGACAGACCTCAGGTGGGCTGAGAAGCTTACGCTGCACCTATTTACACCATCATCACCAGCTCTGCAGCCCTACCTCCACACATTAGAGTCAGCCTCACCTCTTTAGACAAGCATAAACACACAAACAGTGTCTACTACCATGATCTCCTTCTTTCTGCTGGGAGAGACGCTGCCATCGTGATCCCTCTCCAGCTCCATGTCCTGGCTCTGATCCTGGTCCTTGTCGTCTTCATCCTGCTCCAGGCTGGGCTCCAGCTCCGTCTCCTGTTCGTCCACAGATGGGCTGTAGAGTCGTCGCTGCTCGCTGTAGCTGCGGTGGGTCAGGCCATGGTGGTTCTCGCACATGGACGATGCGGGCCGGGAGAACTCTGTTGTTTTGGTACAAAAGAAGTCAGAACTGAATTGTTTACCCGTTTGGCATCAAACAATCTGCTGCTGCAAACAGCCTGGTTCAAACTGAATTTCAACCGTCAAACTTCCTCTGACTGCACAAATTTGCTAAACCTGCCCATCCTGTCTACCTTTACTATTTAAGGTCCGTGTCTAAGCTGCAGCATCATATGAAGCTTCAGAACCAGATGTGCTCACCTCCATCCAGGCTCCTGGACAGCAGGTACCTCTTGCTGGTGGACCGCTCAAAGTGAGGAGCAGGACGGTCTATGAGAGCGCTGGCCTGTCTGGTTTGAGCCTGTGTCCTTCCACTGTAACGGAACTTTGATCCCATCACCAAGAAGCCTTTGGGAGGAGGTTCTGGAGATACCAAGCTGTGAAGTAAAAGCTGGACTTAGAAATGATCCTTCTTGATTTTAATCAACATTATATTTGAATAAACGTTGAATCAGCTAGGATGGGTTAGGGTTAGGATGTCCAACTCTAGTTTTAGGGATAACTCTAAACTTCTATCACACAGAGGAGGAGGCCCAGACTTCCCTCTCCCCAGCTCCTCAGGGGCAGTCCTAAGGTGTTCTCTGGCCAGCCGAGAGACATAGTCCCTCCAGCGTGTCCTGGGTCTTCCTTTAGGTCTCCTCCTGTTGGACATGGCCAGAAAACCTCGTCGGAGGCATCCTAATCAGATGCCTGAGCCACCTCAACTGGCTCCTCTCGATGTGGAGGAGCAGCAGATCTTCTCCGAGCCCCTCCCGGATGACCGAGCTTATCATCCTACCTTTTACCCCCAAATTCCACTACCTCCGCTCTGCTCCGCTCCGGTCCGCCCCCGCCTTCTGCAGCCGCTCGCTTCCGAACTCAATTTTTACTGGTACCCGCTCTACAACGGCCCCGCTCCGGTGCGGAGACCTGAGGTGGGCAAACAAGCATGCGCGGGATTTTCGAGATCTTGCGATACAGTCCGAGCAGTAAACGCGGAAGTTAGATCCAAACACCCGTTGTGTGGGAGAAGCATCGAAACAAACTGTTTAATCTGCCCATCATTTGTGTAGAGAGATCAGCAGTGTTTGGATCAAGAAAGTGTGACTACTTTGATAGTAGAAACTGTATTTATGGCTTACTTTTGTGCATTTAAACTTCAGCCGCCATTGATAGTTGTTAAAAGTTGTTAAACCTGTGCATATGAAACAAAAAACGCCTTTTGTTTATCGATTTATTGTGAAAAACGGAAGTTGTGCTTGCTCCTTTTCCTGTTGGGCGGTTGTGATTTCTGTCCATTTACTGCGGAGGTGCTCCGGCGTCCGGCGAAAATAGGATCGACTCTATTTTTGCCGGACGCCGGAACAGAGGGCGGCGCACGACGCCACACTGCCGGAGCACGGCCGCAGTAGTGGAATTTCTCTGATTGACTACAACGGGACCGATTTTGCTCCGGCGTTCGTGTCGGAGGGGAGCGGAGCGGAGGTAGTGGAATTTGGGGGTAAGGGAGATCCCAGACACCCTTGTATCCGCAATCTTAATCTTCTGGTCACTACCCGAAGCTCGTGACCATTTCTTTACATCTTGTCCTTTTTATGTTAATCCACGAATGCGTTTTGTGAGTAAATGTATTCATCGTTAAATCTTTACACTAATGAACTCCTAGGAGGCCATTGAAGAAGTAAAAATGTTAAAAAGATGTTTCAGAAACACAGAATAAACCTTTTTTTCCACCGACCCCTACAGGCTCTTTGGAGTTTAAAGATGACTGAATCAGACTTGGTGATGTTGACTAGACAGAGTTGACTTTCAGGTTTGCAGACACTTCCTTTTGTGAACGTGTGTCTGTTTATTCTACACTCGGTGGAATCTGAGGGGACATTTAGATGTTTACATCAAAACGTTTTGCTTCTGCCACATCATCAGTGGAAGCCTTCAGACTGCTGATACTTATAATGTTCATACTAAAATTGTCACAAAAGGTAAGAACTTTTGTGTTTTGTTGATTGTTCCGTTGCTGTAAGAACAGTTTTTAGCAATGGCTCGTCTGTCATTGGAAAGCCTGATTATTTCCCCTGAAGTGGCGCCATATTTCTGAGGAAAAGCCCAGTGCCTCCTCCTCATGCTGGTCACCAGCTTGGTCACACGCTGACCCCACCAGCCCTCATGGGGTGGAGGTCAGGACTGCTGGCAGGTCATCCAGTCCTCCACACTCCTATGATCTGGAGGTGGTCACAGATACACTCACTGGTGGGAAGAGTTGCCATCCAGATGATGCTCCTCTCCATCACACTGCCTCCACCAGCTGCTGTCACCCTCTTGGTCTTCTCCACATGGTGGCTCTACAATCTAAACGCTGTAGGCAGATGCTGGACCAATATGTTTTCCCTCTTCAGACTTTAGATATTAATCACATTCATCGAATTGATCCTTTTGAGGAGATCTTTTCCCCACATTTGACTGATATCCGAGGAGCAGTGCGTTGCCACCATCAGTGACTTGCCCAAGGACTCTGTGACATGTGGAAATGAACCACTGACCTTCTTATCAGTGGAAAACTGCTTTTCCCTTTTCAGCGACCAATCCAAATCCCATTTTTGGTTCTTTTTTAAACACAGATAAGGTTTTTCTTTACCTTCCTGACGTTTCGTTTGCGGCTGCAGACTTCCTCAGAGCTGACGCTGATGGTGGCGTCACTTCCTATTCCGTTTATCCGTGGGCAGCAGAGGACGACAACGCCCTCTGCTGCCCACTCTCCCCTCTCCGATGATGCAGTCCCATGTGCGATCCAACGAGTAAACTCCATCGTCTCTGTTCATGGTCCCACATCCACGTCTCCTTATCTCGATAGCTTCCTTGATCCATCTTTTGTATTTCTGTTGTTCGGTGTTTATGATCCTTGTGTTGTCCCAGTCCATTATATGGTTTTCTCTTGTGCAGTGATCTGTTACGGCTGACTTCTTCATTGTGTTTTCTGCTTCTCCTTTTGCTGCTCTTGTGTGTCTTCGACTTGTTTCTTTCTCGCACTCCTTTCTATGTTCTATTGTTCGTGTGTTGAGTTGGCGTCCGGTTTCTCCTACGTATGTTTTATTGCAGAGTTTGCATGGGATTTCGTAAACGATTCCACATTTAAGTCCAGCTGGTATTTTGTCTGTTGGGTGCACTAGTCTGTTTCTAACTGTTGTGTATGGTTTTGTTGGTGTGTTTATGCTGTGTTTTTTCATTGTTGCTCTTATTTTTTCTGTTATGCCTCTGATGCATGGTAAGGTAAGGTTACCCTTACCTTACCATGCATCAAACAGAATCCAGCAAAAATGATGCAACACGTGTTTTATTTTGAAATAAACCAGATGCACCTTGCTGAAACACGTCTCACTTCCTGTCTGGCTCTTGTCATTTCTTTAATTTCATGACAAGCCACATTCCACATGTGGAAGAAACAGACTTCATGTGGAAGCTTTGCGAAGCTTCACATCCGGATCCATGCCGCACCGCAGCCAGTGTGAATGGTCTGACTGGACTCAAGGAAACCAGACCACGTCTGTTCTGCATTCTGTGTCAACGAGGGTTTATAGTTTCTCCTCAAACGTGGAACCAGTGAAGAATGTTTCAGTTTCTAATAGGGATGAGCCAAAGCATTTTTGACGAATACGAGCATGAAACGAGTAAAACTCGTAAATATCTGTAATCGTGCTGAAGGAAAATTCTCATTGGGTAACTGACTGTCTTCACGCTCTGTGATTGGCCAGTCACATAGAGCGCCCGCCCCTCCCTATGCACAAAACTCTGCAGCCAGGAACTCAGTCCGCGTCCGGTCCATCCACACATACACACACAGACAGTGACGGATCCCTCTGTGCTTGCTTCACTGTTCACGTTTCTTCACTACCCCTAGGCTTTCTCCAGCTCGCCTCTTTTTCAGTTTAATATTTAAAGTTACTTTTTCATAACGTACCTGGTGCATTTGACAATACAGAGCTGAAAACGGCTCCTGCTGCCTCTCTCTCTCTCTCTCTCTCTCTCTCTCTCTCTCTCTCTCTCTCTCTCTCTCTCTCTCTCATATATAATGAATGATACAGAGGGCACTTCAGCTGAGACTGAATGAAATTATTTATAATTTAAATCATATTAAAATTAAAAAAAGTTGTCTGATTCTAGTATTTCATATTTCCTAGTTCCTACTGCATGACTTCAGATGTATTAATTCATGCACTTAAATATTAATGTTCTGATTTCATAGAAAAACTTCTGTAATAGTTTCTTTACTATTGTGATCAAAAATATTTAATCTCAATTCTGAGGCTGCTCTGTAAATAGTTTTCAAATAAACAATACACATATCAACGTCTGATCAATCCATATCAATTTTAGACTTAAAACAATGTAAACCACACCCACTTCCGGGTTTTGCCACGCCCACTCCGAGTACAGATACAGATAATTTAGATGGCTGAACAGATACAGATACAGATAGTGGTGTACTCGCTCATCCCCAGTTTCGAAACTCTAAATTGACATTCAGCCCCTTTAACTCCATCAGACCTCATTACAAGGTCACTAGCAGAGCTGCTGGCGCTGAGCTCAGACCAAGTGTGGTTGCACCTAATTAAGCTGTGGACACAGGAGTGTTTGGTTAGCTTTGACGGGCACTAAATCAGAAATCGTCCAACCAGAGGAGCTAATTGATTCTTACCGGAAGAAGGTGTGATGCTCAATGCAGACTTTCCACAGCCTCTTAGCAGCTCTGTGGTTGGGAAGCTTGAAGCCGATGGTACTTTCAAACTGCTCAAACTGGATGAGACACAGAAAAGGAAGACAGAAAGAAAAAAGACATTCAGTAAAAACAATCATTTGATGCATTTAGTCATCTCACTAAAGCACTACGGACATAAATATAATTAAAAACACAAATAAATGGTCTTTATGTCAGAATGAAAGCTAAAACTTATTAATGTGAACAATATTTGGTTCGTGATGAAAGTAGTGCATAAAAGCGAGCAGGTCAGAGTGAGGAAGGATACGATCTGATGTTAATAAGCTCAGTGGAAAATCATTTGATGGCTCTATATTTACACTCATCTGCTCTGGTCTCTGGCTGCAGCTGCAGCAGCTCAGATGAAGGGTTTCTTTATTTGGCTCGCTCACAAGCTCACTGGGCAGCTCTGTCACTTGACTGAGTCTCGCCCCGACAGCCGGATACGCCGAGGCTCAGCATGGAGGTTAAGCTGCAGAGCCTCGCAGCACTGAAAGGAGGGCCGGATAAATAGACCCTGACCATGTGGGAGGCAAGGCTCGGGGAATTTGAGTGGTCAGTTTTAAGCTCCACTCCCTACACATTCATGTCTGCTGTAACCTGAATCAGTTCGACACAGAGGACAATTTTTATTTATTTGTTAATTCACCTGAAAGGAGGCACGGTGAATCAGAAGTGACGGGTTAAGTTTTGGAGAGAAGGTTTTAACGATGTTCTGATGACTTCCACAGTCAGTTGTAGCTTTACGTTCACTAATAAGCATGAAATTAATCTTGATGCTAGCTGATGCTTCGTGTCCAGAAGATTTAACATCATTTCCAGGGTTTTCTTGGCAGTAAAATCAGAAACTTTGCTCCAATTTGACACATTTAGGCCCTGTCCACACGTAGCCGGGGATCTGCCAAAATGTAGATATTTTTCTACGTTTTGGCCTGTCATCCACACGAAAACTGATCTTTTTAAGAACTCCGGCCAAAGTGAAGATCTGCGTTTTCTCCGTTTTGGGTGTCTGCGTGTGGACGGACAAAACCGGAGTTTTAAGGTCCGCAACGTCACTTTCCGCGACAGAAAAATGCTGACATCACGTGTGCGACCTGTGTTTACACTAGCCGACAGCATGGATGCCCTCAGAGCTGCGCTCGCTTTATCAATTGTCCAAGCGCTTTTTGCTCGTTTGTTTTTGCAAGAGGAATTACTGCTCCTTGCGGAAGACCACAGACGAAGGACGAGGTTAAGAACGGGGGAAGTACTGCCGCCTACAGGTCTGGCATGTCCTCAACAACGTATTTTTCCGGGTACGTGTGGACGGAGTTTGTTTTTAAAATGAGGTGGTGTGGATGCAAGTTTCTGGAGGGGCGGATATTCGTTTTTAAAAAAACCCGGCTACGTGTGGATTAGGCCTTAGTCAGTCGTTTTTAGGTGTCTTTAAATCAACACTGAAAAGTTTGTAAGACTTTAAAGTGATGGTGTGTATTCTCCTGGAGATGGGGGCAGTACATGCTTCAATCATTGTAAGCAAGCAGGGCTTTGTGTTGGAGTAAGACCTTACCAGCGGGTGGCCGTTAGGGTCAAACATCATTGGGAACACAACCTCCAGCAAAATGACAAACCCATCAGACTCGTTTCCATCACTGACGAGTGTTGTGCAAAGTGTTTAGGAATGATGAACATTTTTTACAGCTTGTTACAAATCAGTGAATGCATTTTGCCCTCATGGGCTCCTGTAGAAGGAAAACATGACGCCCAGAGACTTAGACCCGCTCCCGTGTGTTTTAGACCCGATTTTTATGGTTATATGTTACAAAGATGCCAACATTTAATTGATTTTCAACAACATTTCAATGGATATTTCCAGAGATTAATGGTAAAAAACTACACATTATCTCTTTAAGCTGTTGCTTTTAAACTGGTTTCAGTAGTTCTTCAGTCATGAACTTGAGCAACCTCCCATATGACAGCACTCTACTGCCCTCTGCTGACCAGAAGCTGCACTTCTTTTGTGGTTTGGGTTGGAACACTATGGGACGATTCTAGCTGCTTTACGCTAGCTCCAGCAGGCTGCAGCATGCTTGGTTACAACCGTTTTAATTCAGTGTTCAAGCAGAAGGAGGCAGAAGCAGGAAACTTATTCTGTGTTGCTTTAAAAAGGATTTTATTCAGAAGAACTCACAACTTGTATGTTGTAAGCCTCCCTGGCTAAAATCCACACAACACCGTTCCTTATTGATCACCCGTCACCATGCTGCATACCTCTCCAGGTCTAATTTTGATGTAGAAGTTGCTTCTCTTATATGAAATCTTGAGAATCTTTGGCCATGCAAAGCGGTTGATCCTCAGCCTGTCTCGGTAAATCAGCAGACCGTTGGCACAGACGCCGAGCATTATTTCAATCCCTTCCGAATCCTGCAGCAGACACAGGCAGGAATTATTCATGAGCAGCCCAGGATGCTTTGATGAAGCGGTCTCTCGTGAAAATTAAAGTGATTTTGGAGACGGCCCACCTTAGCGTGATGGAGGTCCACACCGTACATAGACAACTTTTTTGCATTCTCCAAAAAATTCACTTCAGCCTCTGCTGGCATCATCCCTCTGTGTGCAGAACAAAAACAATGAGTAACCAGCATCACCAGGCCTCTGAAAGTAATAAACCCAGACTGGAGGTGGAATTATCTCCTTCAATATGCCTGATATGTTCACTTCTAGCACCAGATCACAGCACAGAGACTACCTAAGAAAGTGTTTGCACTCACACTGTGCATCTTGATGACACGGTAATGTCACAGCTTCCATCCTAAACTAGATGCATGATGGGAAGTTTCAAAACAAGACAAAAAATATCACCAAGAGACTGGTGGGAGGATGAAAGTGTGTCTTTGCAGTACTTGTAGCTTCGATGGAGCTCCATCACCCTCTCCTCCAGCTCGCGGGTCTGATTCGGAGCAAAGCGGAAGTCGCTGACATAATCGGAGCCGTGCTCTTCCTGGTCGTAGTCCCCCAGCTCTGCTTGAATGGTGTAGGAGCCCAGGAGGGCGTGCGTGACAAACGAGCACGGCAGCCGGCCTGACAGGATGTCGTCTCTCAGCTGCAGACACAGGTAGTATCTGTCAGATGAGACAAAGAGAGGGAAGCGTTGGCACTCAAACCAGCCAGGAACGTTCAAGCTCCAGCATGTATCCAGTGCAGTTAATCCATGGCAGTTAGAGGCATTCCAGGGCTAATCCTTCTAAAGGAGAGAGGGGTTTTGGTTGCTTTGACACAAATACACTACAAGAATTGTTACAACAGTTGTATGTAAACACACACACACAAGGAGCTTTTATCTACAGAGCTGACATGTGTAAGCAGTTTCTTCTGTGATTAACCGAAGAGCATCTGACAGCACGGGCGGGGGAGTAGCAACTAGTAATTTGGCAGGAGTGTGTGTTTGTGTTACCTGGTGATGTCCTCTGTGAGCTGGGAGGGGTCTGGGGGGTAGAACTTGACAGCGAAGGCGAACTGCCAGGGAGAGTCTGAGGTTGGAAACATGGCGATTACACATCCGAACCGGATTTGCGTTGAAAAGGTTAGCATACAACGTGCTGAAGAAACAGCATCCATGCAGAAGAGACACTCACTGCGCATCTGCTTCTTGATCTCTTTGGAGGGATCCAACCAGTTCTGAAAGACAGAAGGCAGCAATCACACGGGGCGGACTGCAAACATGACTAATGCGCACCCCGGCGTCACATTTGGTTCTAATTGCTGTCAGCGTTCCTAATGAAAGCTTCTCCATATGCTGAAATGAAGCAGGCCCTGCCCCGCTGAGCCTCTCAAAGACGCAGCGAGCAGATCTGACTTCATCAGCCAGCTACCTATCTGATCTCATAACATCCGGCGGAGCAACGAAGGGCGTCGTTGGAAATGTGGTTGTTGGAGCGTTTCGGAGCTGATGCAACTCGTACGCACTCACTTGTAGCAGCAGCTGTTAGTGTGGGAAAGAGGAGCACTGCCTAAAACTCTGATCGGTGCGGTGGCTGTGTTGGTTTAATAAAACTTGTAACTTTGACTTGAATGGGCATGAATACATTAGATGACATTGTAGTTTAATGTTGTTGCAAAATGTTGTGACTTTATTTAGTTGTAATGAGTTAAACTACAGCAAGTCAAAGTGGGTCCTGTAAAAATCTAAACTTCCTGATAGAAACCGCTCTTCACAGTCCTGGTCTGACATTTACGACTGTGGAGATCTCACTACATCATTACAAACGTTTCATAGTCATTTGGACCTTTCAATTCAATTCAATTCAAAAATACTTTATTAATCCCAGAGGGAAACTGATTGCTGTAGTAGCTCAGAATAATAATAATAATCAAGTCATCAAAGAGTTGTTGTATATTACAATGGCTGTTGGCAGGAAGGATCTCCAGTAGTGGTCAGTGTTGCAGCGAAACTGAAGAAGCCTCTGACTGAAGGCACTCTTCCGTTGTCGGACAGTCTTGTGAAGAGAATGCTCAGGGTTGTCCATCATTTTCTTGATTCTCTGGAGAATCCTTCTCTGCATTATCTCCTCCGGCGGTTCCGAAACTGCCGAAACTCTGGCTGAGTCCTTGAAAGTGCTTGGAGTTCCTCCATCTTGTTGGCCAGTGATCTCACATTGCCCATTATGATCGATGGAAGAGATGGTTTGAATTTCCTCTTTCTCTGTCTCCGTTTTGCTCCCCGCTCTGCACCCACGGTTCTTCTTCTGTTTTAGCTCATTTGGGATTTGTGGCTTGAGTTGAGGTATTATTTCAGCCTTTCCAATGTTAATCAGCTGCTCCCGATTGTAAACCAGCTTGTTGCCATGGTTACACATCATAACAAATGCTCAAAAAGTGAAAAAAGCTAAAAAAAATTGCAGAAAAATTTCTCCAAGCTTCACAGCAGAAACAGAAAAGTAAAATATCTAAAAAACAAATACAGTTTTTCTTGAGAAACTAGAAGAAAAAATGCCCAAGAAAAGGCTAAATTTACATATAGTCAACAGAGCTACTCCAACATGCAGCCGCCCAGAGCAGCGCAGTTCTGGCTTCATGACTGATTTGAATGGCGTGTGCAGCATGAATGAGTGGAAAACACATTTTAATTGTTTTTATTTGCTCTCATCCATAGCGTCAGAATTACACATGGAGGCTGGTGGGGGTTCTGGGACACTAGAAGGTGCTGTCTTTATACTATTTAATAAGTGGGTAAATGTCCCTGAGCAAGCTGCACCTTGACCAAGTCAAATTATGCCAAATACGTGTCTCCTCTTCTAGACAGAGTTGATTAAAAGGAGATGGCTTCCAGAGACAAGGTCGTGCTTTAAAGGCAAACTCCACACATTTTCAGTAGACTTGATATTAATGTGTCACCAAAACCGTGCACAAGTTTATCTTTATTCACTGGAACCCAGCTCTGGTGTGGGGTTGGGATACTTCCTGTTTAAACTCTCGACTGTGTCCAATTATTAGAGTGATTAGCAGGTCGTCCTCCTCTGTTACACTATCTACTTTGTACACCAGTTTGTATGTTTTACCCTTTATGGTTGCCAGTTTCTATTCTCTTGTTTTAGAATACCTTTCCTTGGGGTTTGGTTAAACGTGTCTCCCCAGACACTACCTCATCACACCCTATGTTCAGTCAGCCTGAAGCTTGGTTTATGCTTGACACATTCACTTTCCGCGCGGTGACGCGGCTCGCGGATGGAACGTGCTTCACAACTTGCAGCGTTTATGGTTCGTGCGGCTCGTCTCTGCGGTGAGCCAATATTCTCCCAAACTGTAGGGGGCAGCATGGAGCTCTACGGCATGCATCCAACACTACACCATAGTAGAAGTAGAAATTACTGTTTACAACATGGCATTTCAGCATTTTTAACAGCGTTCTCGTCTTTTCCGACAGTGCGAGCTATTTCTCTCCAAGAATTATTAACAACATGTTGATCACGGTGATCTCTGAGAGCTGAATCATACAAATGTCTGTATTTACCAACCTCTGCCATACTAGTTCTTGCCAGTCCGCCATGTTTTTCTGTGTACGACCGTCCGCGTGGTTAGAAATTTTCCTAGGTGCGCGGTGCGGAAATTTTGGGCCGTGCGGAGACGCGGTGGAGGGGCGTGGTTGTTAAAATGACGCAATTTCGCCGCGCGGAGCCGTGCGGACCTCGCGGACAAGTCGAGCATAAACCAACCTTTAAGCCTCATTTACACCGAGTGCCGAATGGATGCTGATCAGAATCCGTACGGCTTCCGCAAAGACTGAATATCATCGAGTCCAATCAGAGCATTTACACCAGCTGCAACGCAGGTTCAGATGCGGAGCAGGATCTTTCTGCAAGGTTTCTTTTTTTTTCCCCAGACATCGCATGTGGATCGTCACACACACAGACATAGACCCGTGTTGCATCGTTCTGTAGGCTTCTGTATCACTGAGAGGGATATCGGTTTGTAGTGTGTGATGGTATGAGAGCGAGAGTGGCTTGTGTTTACCAGATCCTCTCTAAACACATACATAGTTGTTAATGAGATATGTTGCGGAGACGTTCTGCACACGATCCGCAGCCGGTGAAAATGGCAGTCATTACAGAAGCTTCGCAGATTCTGGCCCACATCCGTTCCTCACTCCGTGTAAATAAAGCTTTAGTAGACACACCTGAGCCCTGCCCAGTTGTCTCAGACCCGTGCCTCGCGGACAGATCAACACCCTGGTACCTGTAGAGATCTAGCACTCCTGCTTTGTTTCCAAGTCCAGAACCACATTCAGGTCCCTGGATTATTCCTGCCTCACCCATGACGAATCTCTACAGCTTTCCTGGAGCCTGGACTCTGACCGCTGCTAATCTATGACCACCAATTCTCGCCACACCCTCCTGAGAAGTACTTTATTATCTGCCTCCCTTTCATTAACCTTGATTTGGGGATTTTGACTTGAGCCTCTTCAAGTCTTTCAGTGTGATTTCCAAAGAGAACGAGAACAACTGAGGTGGAGAGCAGACCTGCCAACATGTCCCCTTGTCACAAACTTTAACTCCTGTTTCATATCAAACAAAACGAAATGTTTACCTTGTCTGCTGTACTCTAATTTTCATCAAAATTGACACCACCTTAACTGCAATTAGTTTTTTGGTTATTACCGTATTTTCCGGACTATAAGCCGCTACTTTTTGCCACGCTTTGAACCATGCGGCTTATAATGAGGTGCGGCTTTAGTCAACCAGAAAGGATGGATGCTGGAAAGTCTAATGAAGGAATGGTTAAAGGAGTGCTACGGAAAGCACCCAGGAGGATTTTTTCACAGTAAGACGGCGCTGCTTGTTTTCCCAGCTTCACCCCGGGATGATGACAGCAACACGGAGAGCGACACTGACATCGCCACAGAAAAGGTATGTGACGAAGCTCTTCTGAGGCTGTTCAACTCCGACACTGAAGAAGATGACTTCAGTGGTTTCAGTGTGCAGGAGGACGATGAATAAACTAATCAATAACTTTTCTGTTTTGTTTGATACCGATCAGTTCAGTTACCTTAAGTTAAACTACGTTTTCAGTTCAGTAGATATCTGCGGCTTTTAGCCCGGTGCGGCTTATATTGAGGTGCGCTCTATAGTCCGGAAATTACGGTACTCTGGAGCTCATGCTCGCATGTTTGCTGCATACAAAAACGTCTGGAGCTTCCTGCGGTGTCAAGGGCTGACAGCAATCTTTAGAAAGCTGAAAACTACGGAGTAACCTCTTATTAACACTGATGGACCTTTAGCCAGCAGCTACTGAGTGAAGACAGAAGGATGAAGGATTAGAAAATGCAACGTCCGGGCCTGGAGCCTCCATGAACAATTAGCTTTGACAGTCAGGCTACTGAATCTCTCAGCTGAGGGTTAAAGAGCCCTGAGTTAGCAAGGTGCTCTTTGCTGATGTGTTTTTTCTCTGCAGAAAAGCAAAAGATTATTTAATTACTGACCATTAAAGGCTTTGCTCTGGGTTTGTAACCTTCTTTCATAAAGCAATCACATGGAGCAAATGTTCTCCCGAAGAGCAAAGATTAAATTCTTATTCTGCCGAGCGAGATGGCAAAAGGGCGTCTGAAACGACGTTTTAATTCTCAGGCTTGTTTCGTCTGCCGATCAGCAGCGACCCAAGCAGCAGGCTGCAGCTGAGCTCCGATAAGCCTGACTTTGATGACCAAAGCTGTGGCTTCGCCTAAATGCAGAAAAAGGGAAATATTTCTACATCAGTGACGTTGACCTCCTAAACTTGAGTCAACCTGTCGTTTAGGGTCGTCGTCGGGCTCAAACTAACACGCATAAATCAAGGCTCAGGCGTCAGCTGACATGGCATGTACAAGCTGATTAGGAGCCACAGATGTTTGAAGGAACTAAGTCCTGTCATATTTCATAGCTTCAAAAAGCCACAGTAGCTCCATCCTTCAGTCTCACACCTGCCTGCAGGGAGGATCCCACCGATCAAAACCAAGTTCAAACCCCAACAGACAGCTAGGGCCCATCAGTTCGCTGTCAGATGCATGATTCTGTCATAATACGCCTGGTTTGTGAGCTTTGTAACAAAAGCTACGAGGATCAGAGGCAGACTTTTGGAAATGTCAAAATGATTAGTGAGGCAACTGGAGCTTTATGGTCCAAAACATTTGTCAGGAGCAGAAGTAA